TTAAAAAATGGTTCGTTTATTGTTAAAGTTTCTTCACATCTCAGATCCATATAATACATGACACAAGTATTCCCCGCATGTTCTTCTGCGATCGAGAAGAGATAGCTCGATTTTATCGATACGCGGTTTCCGATGGTTGCTTAACTCGTCAGTCAGCACTTCGGGCGGCTGCTTGCGCGTGTGCGACCAAATGCGCGGCCTTAGCCTGGGCCACTTCGGGAGTGTCGATTACTCGGCCGTCAGGTCCAAGTGGAGCGTAACTGTAAGCGTAGAACGCAGGCGAAGTGGCGTATGCCAGAGCACCGTATGGAACCAGCCCGACGGTCTTAGCTGCCTCCTGCGTAAACGAATATTTAATTAAATTAAGATAAATATATCAATGCCTAGACACGTACCTTATGTCTGGACGGATAGGTACGTGTCCAGGCATTGGTACAATTTACCTTACTCATCGGTATATTGCGACGCGAGGAAATCACGGAAGACTAAGTAATGTTACCAAAACGCCTCGAAGATATGATGATATGTAACGAGATGAATGGGGCATTACACGATTTACAGTCTAAATATACAATATATAATATTTTTATGCTGTGGAGTGTAAATGAACGTTGCATCAACGGTTCTCGACTTTTAACAATGAAGAGCAGTGCTACGTTGAATGTCGGTCACGAATAGCTATTGCCGTTTGCGCAACCATCTCTAAACCGAGAGTGTCGTACTTGGGCGTGAGCGGCGAGATGGGCAGCCTTGGCCTGGGCGACCTCAGGTGTGTCTACCACCCGACCGTCGGCGCCGATGGGCGCGCCGTACGTAATCGCAGGTGCATAGATCGCAGGTGCATAAATGGCGGGCACGTATCCGTAGCCGAGCGTGTTCCTGGCAGCCTCGTAGGCCTGAGTGGCGAGATGCGCCGCTTTCGCCTGCGCTACCTCCGGCGTGTCCAGGACTTTCCCGTCCGGTCCGAGCGGTACACCGACGCGATATATCGAGTAGGCCGGTTTTGCGGCCGCGATGGCGCAGAATGCGCATAGAACAATCTGTAAAAGAAAAATTCACGCGTAAATCTTGTGCGTAGTCATTCCAAATGCTTGTGAAGTACTTTCTCAACAAAGAATCTGACCCCAAAATTGAAGAAACCTAATTACGGAAAGAATTATTGACAGATATTAACAAGTTCTATTTAAATTTACAACTAATAAATCGGTTGGACGATAATCGAGTTGATCGCGGAATAAACAATTAAATGCAATAAAATTGTCGTCTGTAAGATTATTCGTTCGAGGGTCCCCTACCGATCCGATGGTACTCACGAGAGTCCTCATGTCTTATCAGTGAGGTCAAGCGCTGCTGGATGATAAACCAGTACTCGCCCTAAAGTATGGACTGCTGTGTCGTATCGTGTCGCGTCTCGAATCTCCTTTTATATATGTGAATCCTGGTAGGGAGTCGTCAACCCGTAGGAGGGGACCACACCCTGCAGCAAGTATTATACCTCAAAGTGCTGACATTGACATTACGTTAATGAGGCCCTGCCATCGTCTGATTCTGCCCCGGGGAGGGATATTCTCTCCGGCTCTTCTGAGATGTGGCCGCATCGTCGAGGTCAGTCTCACATCGTCTTGCGACTTCGTTGGCTGGCTCTTTTTCACGCTCATCATCATTATCAACAGTGACCGCCAAGGGCTCGGACCTAATAGGAAGCCCGGCGCGGTTTGCTGCACGAAGGGTCGATTACTTTTTGCTGGATAGATGCGCGGAAGGTGATTCCCGGCCGTAAAGTCTCGTTTATTACCGCGAAAATGATGGATAATGAGTCTCCTTCTCATGGACATGTAACCGCAATGTGCTAGACTATCATCTTCCTGCAGGCGTACATAAATTTACATAGCGTCTCAAGTGAGCTTCAAGATGAGCGATTTAATTAAAATGAAAACAAATACGTTAGTTTCCTTGAATCTTACATATAATTATAATAGCATTATTTAATTTGAATTACTGAATTCTCTGCTACTAAACTTAACGCATTTTCGATCGCTTTATTGCGTCTATATATTTAAAAATATAATAATAAACGATGTAAAAGAAGGGTATAAAATATTGAACAGTTATAATCGCATTTGTCGGTGTCTTAATCCTTATATTGATCTTTTTATTTATCTGCGAGAAAAATCTTCCATAAAAAGAAATAGAATCGAGGTTGCGTATCACCGTGTTCGGCGGAGGATCCCCGTTCACCGCGTTACCATAACTTCTCGATACTCTCAGGCATGCCGATCAACGGCCGTCCTTGCCGATATCAAAGCGAAGCTGCCGAAAGGAGGAAAAGGAAAGGACGGGGCGAGACGCAATTAAAATGTATGAGGTGCGACGTAGAAAAAGAGAGCGTGCCGAAATGAAGGTCTCGATCGCGCGTCCTCGAGATCGGGATCGTGATTTTTCCTGAATGGAAGATCGGGACGGATCGCTCTCTTTGACGGTACACGTCTGATCCGTATCGGCAGGTGCGGCACGCGTCTTTTTGCTCGCCGATCGAAAATTCCGCTTCCTCAAGGTCTCGCTTCCTGAACGAAACTCCTCTTTGTGCCGTGTGCTCGCGCAGGACGCTTCGGCCACCCGACCACACGTTTAAGAACTCGTAATGTTTCGCGGGAGAAAGATTTTACCGGTTTCGCGTTACTCGGAAACGCGAAAGCGTCTTCCGTGAAAATTAAAACGCATTAATTTCTAGGATCTCTTGGAGAAAATATCTTCCGGAAACTTCAAAATTTCATTCACGAGGAGCGGGGAGGGGGAGGGGAGGGAGCTTGAAACTTGCGGAACACCGCTTCTTAATATTTATTTAAGCGATTCGTATCTGTTGCATCTATTAAAATGAAATATGTAGCAAATCGTAACGCCTTTATAAGCATTACGTTAATTCATTATACGCGCTCTGCCAACGTAATATCATTGAGCAACGACCACAGTTGTAAGATACCTACATTTGCACATAATGGCGAATTGTTAACCTTATGGGTTTGCACATGCGTAAATGCGGTGAGTTAATTGCTAAAATCACTTTAAATAATTTGATAAATAACTAATGAGAAGTCGTAAGTAGGCCACTTACGAAAAGCAACGTTAGAATCATCCAGTATGCAGTACGGATATACCTATGTATAAACGAATATATTAAAAATTATTTTCAAACAAATATATATATAAATTTTCTATATTAATAAGTAAGTGAAATACGACCGTATATGATATGCAAAATTCTATGTATTTTTAAATATATAAAATAATTCATGTATAATAAAGATATTAAATTTGAAATGTATTCAAAATTAGCAACAATCTTTCTTTTACGTAAAAATGAATTTACAATAGTATCCACGTGTGATTTTGCAACACGCAAGTAACGCATGACCACTATTCGGAACGTTGCGTTAATTTCAACGATTCCTTTAAACGCGAAGAATTTTCACTCGCGTTTTCAGCGAGAAATTTTCCCCATATCTGTGTGGGCGCTTTATTAACGCAACGACCGGGGAACAAAAGCCCTTTTCCTTGGAATTCGAGATAATCTCCGGCACGCCCGGCGACCCTATATTGTCTATTAGCATAAGCGCATATACGGGTATGACTGTATGACCTTAAATCCCCATTAAACGACGTCTGCAATTAGCGCCGGCCAACTTGCCGTTTTTCCTTCGAGCGTATACGCGCGCGCGTGGGCCGAAAGCATCGATCTCCCAGCGATTTCTAGTATACCGATTAGGTGGAGCAGCTATTATGACGAGCCGCGATTTCTCGTGCTGAGATAATTACGCGTGTAATTATATAAGATTTGCGTGTATGGAAAATTGCTTCATCGTGAGGAAATTCATCTTCAAGTTGTCGAAAGAGTGAAAATAAGGAGAGAGCCTGTTATATCATCAAATTAAAGAATTATCGAATTAAAGAAATACGCATGTTGGAAAGAAAAAAGTAAAAGAGGGAAAAGAAAAAAGTAAGTAGATAAATATCAGAGACTTAAAATGGATTAACGTTTTTTATTAATCTTAAAATATTCGTAATTAACATTTTTTTTTTAATGAACCGCGAGTGATTTATTGATATTGCGAGAGATGTCGACGTTGTAAAATATTAAACCTATTCAAGGGGTGTCGGAATCGTTATTGCGTGTGAAATGTTGTGTGCCTTGAATTGAATTCGACTGTGTATTCAGAATAGGAGCACGGAACGCGGTTAAGTGATCGGATCAATCATTCCTCGGATTCGTACGCGAGCGCAAAAAGACGACGAGGTATGCCGCCAGCCAGCCTGCGAGGCCGCAGGCGGATGTTGACAGGTATGCCTGTTGCATACGTCGGTTCTCAACGAGCGATACGATTATTTATAGCGTGCTGTACCGAGAGATATGTATCTCTTCAGATCACGCCTTTTCTTCTAGCGTTCATAAATTGTAACACTCGGTCGATGTTCCGTCGTTTAAATAGTTACATCCTGTGCAATGTTCTATCTGTATTAACAATCATAATTTTACATAATATTAGAATTGAACATGATCTTCCGTAGTCAAGATAGTAGCAAGATTACATGCAGTGTTATTGTGGTATTAAGATTCGATTGTTATGTGTGAAATGCACGAATATACGTTTTAAATGCCGATATTGAATTTTCTTAAAGATGCAATATATATTCCATAAATCAGTTTTTCTCTTTTGCAGAGGATCCATTCTCAGCTAAAGAAACATTTAAGTAGTTCAGTAGAAACAGCAATATATTGGGAGGATACACTGTTGTAATAAAATAAGAAATCAGGCAACCAGCGGAATGCTTTATATTTCTTACAAGCTAAAGCATTGGCATTAGCATGTCTTACAATTAGATAATGAATCGGGTACGTGAATCTTGCGGTTCAGCCTGAAAGCCGATTGTGCAAGGTGCGAAAACATTTACGATTGACGTATCACGAAATGCATTGTATAACAAAACTGTTGCGCGTATATCAAATTAAGGAACGCGCGTTTTCCAACTGCGTATAACATTGCGGCAACGTCAATTTATGATTCTATCAACACCGCGGAAAAATCAGCTCGCGTTCACGTGTCGCCCTGTTCCCTTGATTGATATGGTCAGTAATCGTCGTAGCCGCTATTCGCGCCGTCGTCGTAAGACAGGGTGCCCGACGGGTCGCCGTAATAGCCGTCGTGGCTGTAGACCGCGGGCTTGTAAATCTGCGAATGATCGAACGCGACGGGTGTCGCGGAAGCTATGTGATTGTAAGCCGCAAAATGCGCGGCCCTCGCTCGGGCCACTTCCGGCGTGTCTACCACGCGACCCTGAAAGCAAAAGGAAGAAAACAATAAAGAAAGCGGCATATTAATATCCACCTTTTAACATCTACGGCCTTCCTCTTCGATACAATGTTATTAAATTATCTTCCAATTAATTACTGTAATTTTCACTTACTAATTGAAAAATGTATAAAATTTATTTTCAAAGGTTTGCGAAATTTCAAGTATGTAAATTATAGTGAATAATACTTCTTTATTGTTAATATTCAAAATCTAAAATTAACACCTGAAATCAAGTCAAGCGTAACTACAAGAAATGTGAAGAAAAGTGGAAGAAGGATTTTATATTATTATTATTATTATTTATTATTAAAAAGGCTCAAAGAAGAAAAATCAATCAAATAAAATAAAAAGGTTTAGTACCATAACTAGGTATTCGTGTCGATGTATTTAATACGAATTAATATTCACAGGCGTCTCGGTCCGTAATCAGACCATCTTCAGTGTAATTTACGAAAGGAACGGTAATTAAAAATTATATAAGCACGCAAAGACGCATTACACGCAGCCTATATTCTAATGCAATCTTATAAAAAGTTATGAAGATCTCCTGATTCTCTTTATCGATACGTGTTTCTCGACCGTTATTAATAACATGACAGTTTACAACGTGTCTTATTATAAAGAACATTTGAACCATTTTTATTACTGCTTTCACTTTTTAATTTTTGATATGTTCGCACGCAGGGAATTTGATCTACGCTTTATATGATTGCGTTAGAATATAGACCGCGAATAATGCACTTTGCGTGCTTATATAAGTTTTAATTGCATGTTTCTTTGTTTTAATTACATGTGTTCTTTTGTAAATTACACCGGTCTGAATACAGAACCGAGACGCTTGTGAATGTTAATTCGTTGATCATCATTATTAAATTATAGTTCAAATCTTCAAGAACTCAATTGATCTAAACCGAGTACACTTTTAGGATTATTATTTTCGCATATTTTTGAAACTGTGCACCGCATCGAACTTAATTGTTCACTCAACTGAATGGGATAAAAATCTTACGTCGCGGTCTAACGGGGCAGGTGGCCCGTGATATCCGTATCCGTTGTGGTACATTTGATGACCGACCGATACGGGTTTGACGTATCCGTGATAGTCCTCATTTTCCGTGTAGGAAGCCACGCCGTGCGGAACTCTCGCGGCAGCTTCCGCTACGGCGGCGAGATGCGCCGCTTTGGCATGCGCCACTTCCGGCGTGTCCCTGACTCTGCCATCGTGGCCTATGGGCGCCGGTGGTCCGTGGTATTGATAATGCGTCGGCATAGCCAAAGTTATGCAGACAACGGTGGCGATTAAGAAGATCTATGAACATAAAAACGATTAATGTGTGTGTGTGTGTGAAGACAGCATTTTTCGATATTTCAGCAAAATTATTTTTGGATACAAATTTCGTGGTTTTGCGATTCTCATTGCAGATTTTATCGCAATTCCGACAGTTCGTTTAATCGTTAACGATGATAATTTATTGATACTTGCTCAATAATTTCTTGATTGACTGCTAAAAATGGTTGTAATCCAACAAAATCACTTACCAAGGACTTCATTATTACGTTCAAGTCTGAATAGAAGTGTCACCGTTTTCTAACCATCGAGAGCAAAACACTCGGTTTATATACAATCGGTGATATAATCTTACCTAACAGCGTCACCCCACCAATGGTGAACACCGTTCGGCAAATATTCGTACAACTGATCGTTCGATTTTTACGAAATTGCGTCAAAATTCTCGATATTTTCGCATCAATGGTGCGAGACTATATTACGGAAATAAATGTAATGTTGTATTAACAGCGGTCTAATAAAAAATAATCTTTATAGTATTAATAAAACAAATATGTTTTAATAAAATGTCATTAAACTCTTGTTTCAATTATAAGATAATTGTTGTTAGCTAACGTTGTTGATACAACATCTTTTTTTTTCCGTGTACAGAAATGTGCAATTAATTTAATCACAATTGTTTAGATCAACAATCCAAGCGGCGCCCGTGTAATTTCATTTCGTTGATCGAATCATTAATCTTTCGTTAGATCGCGCAACAAAGGATCAGATATATTTAATTGTATCTGATGTAATTATAATCGGCACTCTTATTGTTCTCCAAGTAAACCGCAATGGCTCATTAAACAATTAGACGCAGTGCTTTTACGTGGCGGAATTTAATTCGCAGTGCAAGATAATCGCGAATCACGTTACGAGTTATTAGAGAACCTGTATTTTGTTATACGATATTTATTAATTATAGTCAGGCGAATGTCAATGTCGATGAGTAATTTCAATATTAAAGGGGACTAACGGGTTTTTTCCCTCGTGGACAAGTAAATTGACAGCGTTTAATCTTTACGTTAGCTTCGTTAATAAACGCGATGTCGAAAAACTTGCGATTAATCGCTCGTCTCGATAATCTTTCTGATTTATGTCGGGGCTGCAATCTTGAATCTTTCCTCGCGGAACCGTTCGCTCGGCAATCGGGATCCCGACGAGATGCAGGGTCGATCGGATACGTTCCCATCGGCGCTGACACTTTTTTGCCGAGCCCAATTGTACAACATCGCTCGTAGAACGTTCGCGTTTTGGCGCAATCATATAATTCCGTTCTTGCGGGCATTCCAAGCCGCCCCTCTATCCCTCCCCCTTTTCACCCTTTCTCGCTCCTTCTCTCTGCCTCTCTCCCTCTACCCCATCTGTATCTCTCACTTTTTGTTTCCAACTTTTTCTCGTTCTTTCTCTCTGTCTACCGCGATTTTTCGATCTCTCTTTTTATCGCGCAAAATGATCGCCCTGATGTGTCTCCATTTCGCCTTTCAAGCGAAATGAACCAAACACGAAAAACCGCCTCTTTCGCGTTTTTGTTATCTGAAAATCAAGGCGGCCCCATGTTGTAAAACGTTCCGCGTTTACGCTATAATATTTAGTACAGCACGTCTGTACTAGTTGCCCGCGTATCGTTCGCCGGCTATATAAAGTCTACGTGGCCTGACCGTACAGACAGAGATTCGCCTGATCTCGAATAGACGCGCGCAAGTATGAAGTCCCTTGTAAGTACACGGATACTCTATCCCGATCCTTCTTATTTTCACAATTCTTTATTAACAAAAGTGTTATATTAATTATTATATTTAAAAAAATTATCATTTTTTAATAATAAATCTTTTTAGTATTAAAAAAAACAATAATATAAAAAAATTTAGATTGAGACAACATTCTGTACTAAGTTTATTAAAATTAAACTTTCTCACGCAATGAAAAGACTGCTTTCACATCTGAATATAATTTTTTGCTTATTTTGCTTGTAAATTTTTTTGCAGCGTACACCAAGAGACTTTTTATAACTATTGTTATCGCTGTCTTCCATAGTTTCCTCCTTTTATCTCAGGATTCGACAGATAAATCTCTTCGTTCTTTCAGATTGTCCTATCGTGCCTCACGCTGTCGACGCTGGCACTGCCGACGCATCACGAGCCTAAGGTGTATCACGTGGGACATTACTATCACGGACCACCAGCCCCGCTGGCCCATGACGGCCGGGTGGTCGACACGCCGGAAGTGGCCCACGCCAAAAAGGCACATTTCGCGGCGTACGCCGAGGCGGCTGCCAAAGCGGCGCCGCTTCACGTTGGATATTACGCGGGCGGAGGTCACGACGGGGGATACGCCGGCGGATTTGACGGCGGATTCGACGGGGGATATCCCGCGGGCGGAAGTTACATCGGTTACGCCGGCGGACACCACGGCGGATACCAGAGCAAGTACCACGGTCCACCGGCACCGCTCGGCAAGGACGGACGAGTCGTAGATACGCCGGAAGTGGCCCACGCCAAGATCGCGCATCTGTCCGCCCACGCCGAGGAGCTGGCCAAGCATCTGCCGTACGCGTATTCCTACCCGCACTTCTCATGATGAACACCTTGTCGAGGGAATACACCAAGGAAGGACCATTAACTCTCATTGCTTTCATCAATAGCGACTTCTTCAAAGAATTGTGTCGACGCGCATCTTGTTATACGCTCGCGTTGGCGGATGTGCATCTCGGGCAACATAAATATTATTTCATACACGCTAAAATGTAACGACACGAAAATAACAAATATACAACGTGTGAGTAAATAACAAATATAATGTGTGAATAAATAACAAATAAAATATAACGTGTGAGTAAATAACATTCATTGATTTCCCTCTCGTACAAATCGAAGGTATCTCCGTAAGATTCATTATTGCTTCGAAATAATTATTAATTTCGTAACGTAATGATTTTTAATAGAAAATTACGGAAATTAATTATATACTCGATTTTTGTATCTTTTGATGTTTTGATATCTCCGTGCGTTTCTGCCTTTTGAATAATATTTATACAGCAGAGTGCAAATGTTTTGTTTCACGCGGTTAGAGTGCATAAGAATTTTTCTCGCCGTTCTGCGGTGAGAAGTGCTGACGACGTGCCGAGCTCAATTATGGTTCAGAAGCACGAGTTCGGTTGCCGATCGTGCGTATCGATCACTCACGATCGACTGCCACTCCGTCAAGCTCGACTAAACGCCCAAACACGTCGGTGTTGCGCGCGTTGGTGACAAACGCGCGCAATTCCTTTCAGATCAAACGTACCAATAGGGCTTGATCGATGAACTGGCCAAGCGGCCGGTTGCGACACCGCTATCTCCGTTTTAGTAATTCAACAACTATTGTTATCGCCATCCGGTGACATACTATTGTGATTGATACGACACGTGAGGATAAATAATCCCCATAAACTGCGGAACATATAGTGGGTGTAACTCGTTGCGTGATCGTGGCCTAAAGATAACGGCACGTGAGATACAATCGTAAATCGGTCTCGCGGGCTGTTATCTGTTGCTTTCAATAAAATGCTAATGAAAATTTACTGAAAACTTCACCCATAGTATCCATAATAATCGATCATATATTTGTGCAAATAAAACGGAACTCATTTCTCATGCTTTCAATTCTCAAAAAAACACTGTTAAACATTAAAAGATGAAATTTAAGCCAATACCTAAATTAAATAACATTTTGTTATTTTTAACTACACTATATTATGTGTCAAAATATATTATTTTAACAAAATAGTATTATTTTAATTGATATAGTTAAATTAATTGTTTTATTTTATTATTAATTAAATTGTTTTAGTTAAATCAACAATATATTGAGCAGTGGCGACTTATAAGAGTGGTTAAAAATGACTCAAATTGAGTATAATTTGGCACTACAAATTTAACAGTGAAAAATTTTTAGAAGAAAAGTAAAGTATCTACTTCTAGAAAAATTTGGATAGCACACAGAGAAATGTTTCTTTAGATTTAATAAATTTTCTTAAATCTAAAGAAATGTATGCATAAATTTCTTTAATATTTAAGAAAATTTATTAAATCTAAAGAACATTTCTCTTTGTGCATAATACATTTAATCGAGAAATTAAATATGGACGAAATAGTAATTGAGTGAGAATCTCTGACGTTCTTTGCAAAGTGACTTTTGTAACTTCTCGATTTAATTCCTGGCGCCGCGTTTGAAGAGGCAACGATGCTGGGAATGGAAAGATCATTGATCTCGCGGCATCAGCGAGATCACTTTGGCGAAAGCCGGCGACTTAAATGACTGCGAACTGCATCCGCGGGTGACGCGCATAGCGGCGCAGCATCTAGCCGAGGTGTGCATATTTTACTCGCGACACGAGGTCACGGGACACGCGCATACGGGTGCCATTGTTAACGCACGGCGTAAATGTTACGGGGCACGGCGTGGTGTGCAGTTAAGGAGAACGTTTTTCCTGGGTGTGGTTGTTACCCCGCGAGTCGATCGCGCCAAGTCAGGCGGGGCACGGGCAGCCACAGCACGCCCGATCGAGACGCTCGTACCCCTATAAATTGCACCACGCACGTTGATGGCGGCTGTAATGCGGATCTAAACGTGCGTGCCCGACAACCGCACAGTGTCTTGCCGAGAGATCTGAGGGCGACGGGATACCTTTGGGATACGCAGGGTGATCGCCGCGATGATGATCAGATACGTCGTGAGTATACGCTGGCAAAATCGGGGAAAGTGCTGCGAGGCGACGTGCCCGAAATTCCAGATCGATTTTCCCGCACTTTTCATCTTGATTAATATTAAATTCTTCTATGAAATTAATATTAGTTTACTTTCTAAATCTTATTAACTCTGAGCTTTGTTAATGTCGATCATTAGTCAATCGTTTGTCACTAATCCTTCATGTAACTCTCCAGACAACAATACCTAAAATCGAGACATAAGACATCTTTAAGATGTCTCAGAGACGTCTTATGTCCCGATTTTGAACATTGTGTTATTTGGGTCGTTACTAAGCTTAATCAATGTCATTCTCTTCCTTTCCATATCGTGCAAAGGAGAGGACTGTTCTTCCAACGTAGTTTCTAATACGCTTGCTTCTTATACATCTAAAATGGATGTTAATAATAAGAAACAATAACGAAAAGATCGGATGATAAGATTCATCATATTGTAGATCCTCTTCTTCGCAATGTCGAGCGCTATTCTGGCGGCTCCACAGTGGTACGGGCCCCATGCTTCCCCGGCACCTTTGGGCCCCGACGGTCGCGTGGTAGATACACCGGAAGTTGCGCAATTGAAGGCTGCCCATTTAAGCGCTCTAGCGGAGGCTAACGCACGTGCACCGAAGGGACCGGGAGCTATCGGCGCTTACGTCGGGCCCAGCGGATACGCTCCAAGCGCATACGCTCCAAGTGGATACGCTCCCAGAAATTACATTTCGCATTACAGGTTTGTTTCAAACACGCGTTTCTACTCAGGATCAGACTTCTCTGGCATCTCTATGTGTTCTTTTATTCAAACGCAACTAGATTAGACTTAATTTAGAAAGGATTATCTTTTTCAAAATTTTATTTTATTTAAATTCCGTTCATCTAACGAGAGCCGACCTAGCTAAACTTAACCCTAGCTAGCTATACTTATTTTGGAATCTTTATATTAATTCGCCGCAATCGGGTCCATGAGACCGCTCGACTTTGTCGAGCATTGTCGTTTTCATTCTAATTAATATTTTTAAGCTTAATTGTAACATAGGAATTGGAAATACAAAGTCTGAATAAGATGTTTATGCTAATATCAGGTCAAGAAAATTATTTGAGTTTATAAACTGAACTTATTATAAGAAAACTGAAAAATTACGTTATTTATGTGAAAACCGGAAAATCGAAAAACGTCCACTGGACCGGAATGTGGCGAGCTATAGGGTTAACTCTCTAAAATCGTCCGAATACATCACGTTGCAGCGGACCACCGGCACCGCTGGGCCCGGACGGCCGCGTAGTCGACACGCCCGAGGTTCAGCAAGCCAAGGCCGTACATTTCTCTCTCTACAATGCGGAAGCGCGGCGCGTGCCGGCCGGTCCAGCCGATCCAGTTGCTGTTGGCGCCTACGATCCATCCTGGAACAATGGCGCCTACGGTCCCGCTTGGGACGGCCCGGCCAACAGCTACTATTAATTCGACTCCAAGGAAACGATCGGTTCAGAACGACGTATGCTTCCGCTCGTTCGGTGGACGTCGACGATCCCGGCGAAATCAATCGCGCGATCGGTCGCGCTGGACCCGCTCGTGAGATCTTCGACGTCCTTCCCAGCTACCTCAAGAATTGGAAGACTAAGACAGATATTACTAACTACCTCTCCGATCAGTTCGAACAAACGATTCTCCCTCGCCGATCTTCCGATCGCGCTTCCCAATGAACTTCCTGCCTATATTTACAGCGTCGCGTTTCATGCATTTCCTATTTGTCACGCGCGAGTACTCGTACTTCCGGGGTATGTAGTGGAAAAAATATATATGCATATGGGATAACAGTAGCGTAGTTAACCATTTCGTGCTTTTTTGCACGGACCAACACTCTTTGATCCACTCGTCTTGAATGTTTTAAAAAAAGTTTAAATATTTAAAGTTTAAATATTATTTCTAAATTAATGTAAGTCCAGAGATTCGAATATTTTTCCCTAAAGCTCGTATCAGACTACAGATTAAGATTGAGATTGGATTGAAATTTAATTAATCAGAATATAAAGAAAACTGATCTCAAGTTTAGTGAACTTCGTTCTAATTGGTCAAATTTCAATCCAGTCTCAATCCCAATCCGTAGTCTAATACGGGGTTAAGAATTTATATAATAATAATAATAATAATTTGTTAACTTCAGCTCACATGTCAAAAAGCGGACTTGGTTTACAATATTTCCTTCCCTAAGAATTTCTAAAAACTTTTGTATAAACGCCTGCGTTTTGAACGTGTTAATTCTGGCTCTTCTTCTTTGAATGAAGAGATTCTATTACATTCATTCACGGCAATCGGTGTTTCACGGCACTCACTTCGATGTTATCGTATTCTACCGTTACTCAGATCTACTTTCGCGGCAGTACACGACACAAAAGATCGTTATCTGCTGAACTCGGTTGTTGCGTACCTCGTTATGCACGATTAATCGCGTCCTTGCTAATGGCACTAACCGTCTAGGATCACGCAGGATAATCGCCTCAAACTATCTCGCAGTCGTAGAAACCGGTTTCCTCATCGTTTTCTCTTCGCAATCGATTTTTCGTTTCCTGCTGTTAATTGACATCAAGTGATTACAGATCTATTAGTTAATCTTTAATGAGATGTTCGTTGCCATGATTCGCTCCGCACGGTGTTTTCTACGCAACCATCCGCAACGCGTCAACGCAACGTGCATTCGAATGAAGTTTTCTTGCAAAACACGCCCGATTTGCGGACGACCGGTCATGGATCACGGATCGCTTCCCTTCAAGGTGGTCTTCTTCTCGTTAGCTGTCGCTGTGCCTTTGAAAATTGACAGCCCATCGTTTAAAGAACGGTGAAACTCAAGCTATAGATTTCAAAAGATCGAAGACTAATTCTATTAATATATCTGCCAGGTTCTCTTTAAAACCTAACCTGATGTCGATTTAAATTGTTTGTCGCATTTGATATGTTATAAATATTTCTAAGCAATTTCTTTCGATAAAACAATATCGGATAAGTTATAATCTCATTTAAGATCAGTAGAGCAGCATGAGGGAAAATATTATTTAATCCTACTAACAAATATCTCCCATATTCTTTAAACTTGTCGACTAAAATCATTCGTCACATTTAACATGTATTATATTGATATATCGTAAATCTTATATATATTATAAATCTTATAAATATGATATATCATATCAGATCATTATATCTGATATATATCTTATATATTATAAATCTTATATTATAAATGTAATATAAAATATCATAATTATACAAAATATTGTAAATGTTTCTATTGTTTAGCAATTCCTTTCGATAAAGCGATATCGGATAGACTTCGTTTGAGGTCAGCGGGGCAAAGCGAGGGAGAAGATTACTTGATCTTGTCCCCGTTATAATCGACGCCGATCCGCGCGGTAACGTGAGACGGAAGAACTCGGTCGACTAGCTCGCCGATTGTTGCGCAAATCTACGCAAAACGGGGTCTCGTAATACGTAATGCCCCCCCTCCCCCCTCGTACACGTAACGAGTAAGACCACGGTCGCGAACGCGCGGCTGCGATATTTCCACGCAGCATCCGCCGATCTTTGCGCGCGCCCGCGGAATTTTTTAGCTCTTCTCGCGGGTAGGCGTATCGTCCGATCTTGTATCTTTATATCGAGGTCAGTTCAAGTTGCGCAGGGTAAGGAGTGGGTAGCGAGGTTGCACACTCCGTCGCGAATGAAATCGGTTTTTTTTTCTTCCCTCTCGAGGAAACGCCTCGGTGACAGAGATCGGCGATTTCTGGCGATCGCGACCGACGTAAGTTCGTCAACGCGCTCCGCGATGACGTCACCTTTGGCTCCGCGCCATTTCATTCTGGCGAATCTCCGAGTCTGAGATTCTCCGATACTCGTAAACTCGTTCACGATCGATTCATCCTTCTTGCATATTCCGCATCGGTTTACGAGTTACGATTCCTGACCTTTTCGCAGCGGAGGTATTCCAAATCACGATGTGCACAGGTTCGTTCTCGAGGAACGAAGCTATTATTCCGCTCCCTCGCTCGTTTCTTCTCACGTCTTTCGTACACTGGTGACCTATGTGGCAACATCCACAACCGTAACGCGAGATGACTACGTTTCAATAGGATTTACATGATATTTCTCAGTTCCCAGAATTAAATCGCCATTAGAGCAGCAATCCGTGTCGTGAACATCATATACGCTCGAGTGTTTCTCGAGAGATACGCAATGCGTCAAATAAAATTTTATATATAATAATTAACGTGTTTTCCAATAAATTGGTGTCTGCGTGCGCGCCGCGCAAGCACAATACCGATTACTCCACGGTACATTGCGCTCCCTTTTTATTCAAGTGTCGCGATACGGCTTACGTAAAACTGCGTGCCGCATTCGCGCCGCAATCCTACAAGACGATCGTTACGATATCGTCCCGCGGCGCGGGTGCACCGCAAAACGCAAAACTTTCCTAATCGGCCTCCCACGACGATCCGATCGCTCTCTTCTTGCTCTTCCGATTTCTATCTGGATTAAGACACAAGAGTTACGTCACGTACCGCCGCGATTTCTTCTGCGAGAAATTCTCCCGTATTTGCGATCCCCTTCGCGAATCCTTTTCTTTGCGCGTGTCAAAATAACAAGAAATATTTAATGTATTATTCATCTTAATCTAAATTTAATGCTGCAGGCACACCGAATGTAGCGAATTAAAAAAATCAGTGCGACAAGATTTTAATCCGTAGAAGTTAGTTAATTAAACACATTTGCATGCATCTTTACATTCTTGAATTAATATTTTTATGGTTTAATAGTGGTAAAGAAACATTTCAGCCGTATTTAAACTAATTGCAAGCTAGACGCAACGCAAGATCGAGAAGTAGGCCAGCACGTGAATAGGATCTTTATTAAAACTTAATTGCTTATTTGACGTTGCGCGACGACGAGCTAGAGATATTAGTCAACGTATTATTTTGCAATCATATAAATTACAAAATATCGCTCGTTAATTGACAATAAGAATAATCAACTTGTACCACTCTATTTTTGATTTTTTACTAATATAGATACAGAATTTAATATAATTAAAATCGTGCGATATTTTTATGTTAAAAATAGAAAGAGAAAAGGAGGTTAAAAAATAAAGATAAGGATAATGATGGAAAAAACAAGGTTCGTTTTTTCATTAAATCTTTCTTTCAGCAGTCTTTATATAATATATCACACTTTTTCGGAATATTTAAAAATTTGTGAGATGTACAAGCGATTGATCTGCGTGGAGCGTCGCGAAAAACATGATAAATTCGTAGGAAGGGAAAACAATTTATTCATCTAGAGTATGTACAGGCACCGGAACATGTAGATCGACCGCAATCCGCTAGGTTCAGAAAGTTCCTAACAGATGCTGGGACTGAAAGTGATGAGGCTCAAAACCCGATGACGGATTGAACACTTGCTGCGTGGCGTAAGGCTGAGTTCCGGGGAAGGAAGATCCGGGGAAGGAAGATCCTGGGAATGCCCGCGAACCACCATAGTGTCCTAGATTAGGATTATAGTTGATGGGAGCAGGACCGGCTGGTGGTCCAGCATAAGCTGAAACAATATGAACAGCATGAACAATATGAACGATATGAATGAACAATGCGAATAATATGAACAATACGAACGATGTGAACAATTTGAACAATAAAACACCATTTAGAAAATACCCAGCAATTTCAAGGAATAAATTCATGGATATAAATGCAAGAGTTATTAGAATAACTTTCAGTAGAATAAAAAATGCAGCAGGAGGGGAGACCATAATTAGAATCATTTTTTGCAAAATAAAAATATTCTTCAAAATGTCCTAAATCGTAACAATTTATATTTATATTTTTTATATTTTAATTTATTACTCAGAGATTAAAAGTTATATTATATTTCTATGTTCAAGTACTGCTGAAAACTGTTCAGTCTTCAAAATACTTTGTCCAATTTTTCCGCAATTTTCTTGTCAATCTTTCAAACTTTCACATCTTATACTTCGCGTTATGTTGCCGCGAGCGGACTTCAAAACATGTTTCTTATCCACGCCCTACGTCAACGATTTACGCCGCGGCCCACGCAGCGGGTCATCGGTCTCTTCCAGTTCTTCGCTTCGCTCACCTTGACCCTGATGGTCCTCGTTCGGGTGATCGCTCGCGTGTTTGTAAGCCCGGGCCTCCGCCTCGGCGAGCTCGGCTAGTCTGGCTGCCTTCAGGGCCGCCACTTCCGGGGTGTCCACGACCGTCCCATCCTCGGCCAATGGCGCCGGGATGAAGGTAGTGGTCTTCGTCGGTAGCGAGTAGCTCTTCTGCCCCACGAAATTAGCCCGTGCGTTGTATTGCTGCGGTTGTTGGTAATTCACCGGGGCGTAGATGGGCGCCTGCACGTGATTAGGCGTCTGATATATCGGAGTGGGTTGCTGGTAGCTGGCCTGTCTCAGATAAGGCGCCGCGGTCGGCTGTACGGCCGAGTAGCTGTACGCGGGCGACGAGATCTGATTGTAATCGGACAAGTGTTGCTGGCTCTTCTCGTTCTGAGCCGCGCGGGCGGCGGCCTTGGCGAATTCGGCAAAGTGCGCGGCCTTCGCCTGCGCCACTTCCGGCGTGTCGATGACGTTGCCGTCCTCGCCGACCGGAGCGGGCGGCGCGTAGCTCGGCGGGACTTGTTGAGGGTGGTGAACCAGGGGATTCCCGTATGGGGACGAACCGACGTACGCGGCTCTACAGGTCGCCGCCGTGGCGAGCAGGAAAATCTAAAGGAAAACAAACGAATTGGAATAATTAGATCTTAATTCGACCTAAGAGAAGTACGTATTTATAAAAAAAAAAAAATTATATTTTATGTATTGTTTCCAAAAAGTGTCATTTCGACTCGGAATCATCTTTTGGAAGGAATTTGATAGAAACGATGAAGTTTAGTATTGGTAGTCGTCACGAACTACCAATACGTAATCGACAGTTAATCCGTCGCTTATCGGGTCATCTCGTTGCGCGATCTCGATCGGCATTTCTCGCTAGGCGGTTTCGTTTGACCTACCCCAACCTTTCACTTTCCTTTGTCCCGGTGGGATCACTCACCAGGCCTCTCATGACAATCCAGGGGCGTGTATATCCTTCGCTGTACTCCCACACACCTTCTGCACCGATAAAAAGAGCGCTGCTGTGTCTGTCAGTACTCGCTCCCAGGAGTGAGGGACCCGGACCGGGCGTCGGTTCGGTGTTTTGTGTTCCTGGAGAACGGCCGGTTGGTACCATTTATAGTCCGCGCATTCGTCCGTCCCCTCCCACGTTGATGCGATAGCCGGCGACCTGGAGGGAGCCAGAGGTGATCGGCTAACCCGGGTGGCCCGGGAAGTTCACCGGAAAGATCGGAAAAGCTATTATCCTCACTTTCTCTCTCTCTCTCTCTCTCTCTCTCTCTCTCTCTCTCTCTCTCTCTCTCTCTCTCTCTCTGTTTTTCTCTAGTTCTCTCTATCTTTCGCCAACCTTGACATTTGAACGCGGCTTCTGCACTTCGTGACCGGAAGCGTGTCAGTAGCTAATGATGCACTCGATTGAATCTTAATTAATAGACATAAAATCGCCATCGTTTCTTCGCAGAGTGGATTTTCATTGACTGAATTAAAGCTGAAAGACATTTCATCATTTACAGTATTTACATTGATCATCTCTTACAATATTTATTAATTTTTTTAAATTTTCCGACAACAATTAGCAATGTGAATAATTAATTCTCTGTTGTACCGAGTTGCATAAATCAATCTGGCATCCTTTTATCGAGAGACATATATTTTTCACTCCTGCATGATCCTGGTTAAATCATGTCACCGATAGAAGGGATCTCGCCGTTAAAAAACAACAAAAGCATGTGTTGGTGCTAACTCACCAGCCCTGAGCAAACGAAGGACTCGAAGTCGAAGGACGAGCTATATTAAAAATGCATTCTCACAGTACAAAGCACATTGGTCGTAATGCATTTATGGTGTATATACGGACCTGCATGACTCGTGCAGTAAATTCACACAAAAGTCACTCTCTACTGCGATCAAAAATAGTTTTCTCAAATATTTATCATGCGTAAACATAGCAGAGCTACAATTGTTTCTAAAAGTGTGATTTTAATGACGTTTATTTGTTAATTTTATTTCGACATTACTAACAATAAGAAAAAATGTAACACTATTGCTATAAGGTAGACTTGTTTAAATTTCAATTAACCTAAGAGCTTAGATTAATATAAAATTTTAAGAAGAATTTGAATTTTGGGTCTCAAATTAAATTTAAATTTGGACTCAAATAAAAATTAAATTTAGACACAAATTGTTCCGATAAAATTGTCAAAATTACTTAAAAACTTTTTCTATTGCTGAATATTACGACAAATGCAGAGCAGTTATAAAAATAACATTATATTTATAGTGTCTGATTTGTCACACTCCCCTAATGCCAGATTGAGCTGTTATTCTTCTAATTTAATCAATAATATTTTTCAGTTCAACGCACTGAAGACGATTGTGCATTTTTCGCGAAGGAACATATATGTATATCTATCGAGTATATGTTAAACGGATATACAGTGTTCACACATATTTCGCGCGAACACCTTTGACAAGCCCATGCTGCAAAGTGCAAGCAGATAAATGCAGACAAGCAAGGTGACGTATTGCTGTCATCATACGCGACCGCGCCTTTCCTCGCCGTTGCTCTATTATCGTAACTTATCGATCTTCATCGCTATACGTTCGATCGAATCGACGAGTGACCTATTGACCACCCGTGAGCCAGCACTCGCTCCACCGTGCGCAGCGTGTCGATTACGATATGAAAGCGACAGTGAGCGAATGTTTACCGCGCGCTCAATGTCAATCTACAGTATCTACACCCTATCCCGCGAGACGCAAAAACATTCCAAACTGAACACGAGCGCGCGAGCGAGCCGAGCTCAGAGCTGAGGAATTTTCGTTCTCTCAGATTGGGCAAATCTGCGCACCGCGCGACACTCTCGGTGAAACGCGAGTATCGCGAAACGTCACGGTAATCGGCGTGTGTGTAATACGAGAAAGCGGGCGGCGGCAATTCTTGCTCCCTTTTCCTCCGACAAAGCGCTCGCGACAGAATCCGCCGATTGCATATATACCCACGCTGGGCCTCTCCGCCAGCGTCTGAGGTTGACCCGAAAAATCAATTGTGCGAGAAATGACCGAAAATCGCGTACGCAACGAATCTTTTATTGTCGTCGTCGTCTCGGTGATTGTATCATTATTGTGGCCAAGATTACATGTTCTCGGCGACATATGCGGGATTACGAGAAGCAAACCACTGTACTTTTTACGGTCCAAACTATTTCTCGCAAATGAATGAAAGTGAAGTATTTCATCTTTAGTTTCCATCCAACCGATTTAACATAAATAAACAATTTTTATCATTTGAAGAAGAGATCTTTTTATGAAAATCTCAAAAGTATAGCTGGCCAATTATAATTGCAGATAAATTTGAATAGTTCAAGAATTATACTACCGCAACGTGTTACGTCGAGTCCAATTCGACACAGGGCTGCAAAGAGTTAAGAAGTATTTATGGGTCTTAACGACAAGTTTACAAATGACGAGTGTATTAACACGATAATTTTCACGGTCAACAGCTTCATTCGTTAAATCGTAGAAGACACGTTGCCAAACGACTGTATTCGAAATTGAATTATTAAGATGCTTTCTCGCGGTGCGAACACACGCGGCTGAGAAACTTTTTCTGGGACCACGGTCTCTTTAATGGCGTTACTTTGTTACTTCGAACAGCCTCGCTTAAGTTTTGTACTTATGATTAATAGACCATCGCGAATTCCATACCGGTTGTATCGGAAGAATCAATAAACTTGTCATAATAAATATTTCAATGCCTAATTATGCATTCTTGATATGTGTTTAACAACTTCTCATACAGCTTCGTAACATAACTTAACCAAGAAAAGCATGACGATGTGTGCAAAATAAACAGCTAATTTTATTTTCGAAATTTGTAGCGATGTACTTCTGATATTTATATAAGATTTAGAAATATTTCTATACAATTTTTATTCTTCGACCGAAAATTTTTCGTTCAATGAAAAAAAGTGGAATTATATTTAATTACCGTTTTAAAAATTGAAATAATACTTCTTTTTAAATACTAAAAAGAAGTCAAACGTGTATTACAATGAAATATTTGTAATATGAAATATATGTTTATTAATCTCTTATCGATCTCTTTACATGAGGCGCGCCTGTTAGAACGCATTCCGGCTAGCACATATTGCTAACTACAGACTGCATCCTTACAGACCAACGTAGATTTCTACGCAACTTTCAATTCTTACTTGAAACTTAAAAAAAGATATTTGCTTGTAGTAATAATTAACTCTGTAACAGTATGAGTATAAAAAAGGAAATTAAACATTATGGTAATATTAAAATTTGCAGCTATCCTATAATATGAAAACATTTGAAGTTCCTGATGTGACTTGAATTTATAAGAAAAAGAGGTAATCGAAATAACTCTGCCGGATTACGGCGCGCAGGTGGTCCAGATATATTTACACTTTAATGTGGATGGCACGCTCGTGTGTATTAACGAAGATAGTACTGAACGAGCGGCGCGCTGCGGTCCAGGACAACCGGCTGATCGTAGTAGACCGATCTCACGGCTTCGAGGCCGAGCTTCTCGTTGATGTGAGCCGCCGCGTGTTCCGCCTTGGCGAGGGCCACTTCCGGCGTGTCGACGACGCGGCCGTCGGGCCCGATCGGTGCGCCGGGGACCAGTTTCGTCGTCACCGCGATCGGTTGCACCAGCTGCGCGCTACCAACCAGGGCCGCGTCGGACGACGCGACGTAAGCGAGCACGTGCTGGTCGGCCGACTTAACGGCTTCCGCGGCCAAATTAATCTTCTCGTTGACGTGAGCGGCCGCGTGCTCGGCCTTGGCCAACGCGACTTCCGGGGTGTCGACCACCCGACCGTCCGGACCGATCGGAGCACCGGGCACCAACCTGGCGTAGTAGAACAGCGGCGAACCGGCGAAGGCGCAAGCCAGGATGGCAGAGAGAACAATCTGGAGAGAACATGACATCACGTTGCGATATAATTTTTAAATATTTATTTAATAAAATCTAGAAATTATGTCAATCTGGTAAAGCCTAGCTCTAGCTTATGCATCTCCTTCGTTAGATTGTATTTTAACACCACTAACATGAATAAATATATTTATAGAAGTTAGAAACCTATCATATAATTAACGTAATTCTTGAGACTAAGAAATATGAAATTTGTGTATATCAAAATAATTGAAACAAATGCAGTTCTTAATTAAATCAATCTATCTCTATATCCAATCTATTATATTCCTTTATTTTTAATATTAAAATAATAAAAATTGCAGCTATTACTACAATATTTGTTATTAAAACAGACTTTTCACTGGTACTCACCAAGACCTTCATGTCGAACGAAATTACTCAGCTCCACAGCGCTGCCGATCAGGATCAGTACTCGCCAAGGCGCTTGGTTAATGTGTCGTGCACTACCCTGTCCACGCGGACTTTATATACCCCGTGGGCAAAAGAGGCTTTGTGGCCAAACCAGGCGCCGCTACCAGGATGTAACCCATCGCAACGTAAATACCAGTGTCCAATAAAAGCCGTCACGTATCTGACATTGACGCCCCGTCATCTCGCTCCCGTTCGCATAATCGCGAATCGTATCAGCTTCGTCGGTCCTCACCAGTCCTCGCGGCGCGGCACCAATCTAAATTGGTCCCCCTTCTGATTCGATTAATCAAAACCTGCGAATTAAAAAGGATCGATCGAGCGATTCGTCGCGCTCGCCTTTTTTGAAGTCGCCAATTTATCGTATAGGTAATTCTCCTTCAGTTTTCTTATTCCGTTTTATTTTAGGTTTAATCGCTAACCGCTGACGTAAATATTTACCCTTTGTCTCCCGGAGGAACGTGCACAAGCTTTTTTCGATAATGAGAAAATTATCTATTTTGTTAATTAATTACGTAATAGTTATCACGATTAGTATAAGCACTAGCTATAAATAACCATAGTACGAAACTTACGTAATTAATTAAGTGTAAATGAAATGTAAATTAATTTTGCCATGTAACATAAATCACTTATTTCAATTTTATTTTTTAAGATTATTATTCAAGATTAATTTTCATAAGATTTTTAAAATTGTTTATTTAAATTATAATACATTCATATAGCACATACACCCAGCTTGGTTCGTTAGCCTCTTTTATCTCCTTTGCTTTTAATTTTTCGAACCTTGAGTTATTATTTTTTTAAGATTATTGAACAAATGTGTGTCTCTTAAAATCAACAAGTTCACTAGACTCAATAAAAAAAAAAAAAAAAAAATGCTAAAAAATGCAACAAATGGATGTAGATCGACGAATCTATTTTCGCCGAACTAATCGAGGATTAAGTAACGCGACAGGTATGCAAGTAGGCAGGCATCCTTACCTAACCGAGCAGAAACGACAATAAGCCCGCTCTAGAACCTGATTACGCGATCATACGCAGCCTTCAGCACGCGTCGTCTCTCTCTCTCTCTCTCTCTCTCTCTCTCTCTCTCGCAGACGCAACCTTCTAGATCACGGCCGATCTGGCGGAGAAATGGAAACGGGATCGGGTGTCTTCCCGACCTCGTAAGAAAGAAACCGAAAGAAAATCCCTCTCCGTTTCATCTCGTCATCCTTCCTCGCCCCTCGCTACAACGTTTTTTCTTTCATCCGACGTAAACTCTCGCTTTACAAACAGGCTTATCTTACCCGATACGAAACGGAAGCAGCTGACCACAGCTTTACAAATCGAGATCTCTCCCACGCGATCGTTCTATTACGTGATCTATGAGGGCTATAAAGACGATCGCGACGACTGGACCGGTGCGCGTTATCGAGTGAATCCCGTGACGTTACGCTACTCATTGTCTACGATTGCGTGGGACCACTGTCACTTTCGGCGCGACTAAACAAATAAAACGTAAAAGATGACGCGTTTCGTGATCGTGCTACTCGGTTTGACGAGCCTGGTCTCGGCCAAACCCGCTTTCCTGTCCGTACCCTTGACGTACGCGACACCCTTGGCACCCGGGACGCAAGTCGGTACCAACGGCAGAGTGTTGGACAGCCCCGAAGTCGATGAGAGAACAGGGGTGGCGAACGAGGCTGCGAGATCGGCCGCTGAATCTCAGCTGCTGCGAGGAAGACAATCGTCTTCGCTGGTTCGCGACGGTGTACCGTCGATCCTAACGTCTTCCGCGCCTCTCGGCGCCGACGGCAGGGTCGTGGACACGCCGGAAGTCGCGGCCGCGAAGGCGGCTCACGCGGCCGCGCACGTCAACGAGAGAATCAACCTGGCGCACGAGGTGGCGAGATCCGGCGGTGATGCATCGGATTCGTCTGACGTCGCCGACAGCGATCTCGACGGCAGAGTCCTGGACGCGCCGGAAGTCGTGGCCGCGCGCGGCAGCGGGAAGATCGACCTGGTGAACGGAGCTGCGAGACCTGGCGACGCTGTCGCGCGCACCGTGAACGGTCGGCTGGTGCCGTTGGTGCTCGGCAACGGTGTCGTCGCTGCTCTCGTGCCCGTCGGTCCCGACGGCAGGCCACTGGACGTGCCGGAAGTAACCGCGCGCGGCAATCAGATTCTGGCGAGCGACGTGAGGTCCGTCGACGCTCTGGCGATTGCTGGTCCGGCGCTCGCTTACGGCAGATTGATTTACTGAAGAAGGTTTTACCGACGCGCTTGAAGAAAATACCGCTTACTTTATATGCGTAACTTTGTATCGAATAATTGCGGAATTTTTCAGATGATAATCATGTCATAAGCTATATTTGTAGATCTATATATTAGGGATTATGTGTCACCTTTCTGACGAAAAATGAAAAACTCAATAGGACAAGAATAGAATAAGTTGATCATCTGACCATTTCTTGCTTGCACACAATTATTTTCACTATTCTGTACTACATATATAAAAATAAATAATGTACACATACGTGAAGCCAATATATCGTAAAGGAATAAAATTCTTACCTTACACACGAATATGATACCTCATTTAATCCGTTCGTACTTTACGCCAAGCTATTCGACTCGTCTCGATAAAATGCAAATGCCGAGACGGCGACAAAATTTTCCATATTTCATTGATCGTCGCATAACTTCGCGTGGCAGAGCCGCGCTAACCAGCCGAAAGACCAATAAGACCATCCCTCGCATCCCTCGCATCCCTTGGCGAGCGACCGGCGTCAGCGAGATGGCTTTCGCCAGCTCGAGAGGCGTTCCGCGGATACAGCGAGCGAGGTATAAATCGCGTGATAAATTAGCGATAATCCGCGGCGTTCTTCTCCTCGAGATCCCTCTTGGCTCGGCAACCCCCCGCGACATAACGATCGCGCGGTGTTATGCGCGACCTTGACGGTCGACGTATTAGGGCATAGTCGGGCGGATAACCGGGCCCCGCGGGAAAAAAGCGCACCGTCCGATGGACACTCTTGACGGCGAGGCGAACGCTGCGAAGCCGGATTCCGAAGACCGCGACCTCGAAGGGGCCACTCGCCGCGACCAGTTCTCTCGCCGCGATGGCCCACAACGCGACGACTCCTCGCGAATTTCTCGCGACTCGACGAGGGAGGAGGAAGAGGACGCACAGGAGGGCAACATCATCGCAACGCACCGCAGGGCGTGGTGGCACCGCGACTGCGTGCATATATAAACGTGTCCTGGCGCCCGTGTCGCGTCGAGGATATACCGGTGCCGTCGATACGATCACCATGAAGAGCGCGTCCGTAAGTGCTCGTTCCGCGATTCCTCGCGTAGGAGGATCGCGGATTCTAACAATAAAATCTCTCGAGGTTGGTCCTTGGTAGAGTTTAACTGCGCGCATCAGGATTACCACTTGCTCGGAGCAGATCGGGAACTTATCATCCTCTTGTCTTTAAATTTCTCCTATTTGAAAAATTTATTTGCCTCTTCAGAAAAAACAAGTAAAATTTTGTTATGTATCTAAATTATCTCAAGTTGAAATTTGTAGTTTGTTACTTCAAGCGACTCTCTTGATACAACGGGGATGTAACTTGCGCCACTCCCGCAAAGTAAACCGCTGATACCTCTGTCGCGTCGTAATATTATCCGATACTAATCCTAAACACCTAACACCTCCCGCGTATATCTGATCTGCGATACAGATCTTACGAACCGCAATGTGAGTTGTGCAAATTATGAGCTAATTTTATATGTAATTTCAGTTGTTCCTTGTCTTCTGTTTGATCGCCACCGGCTTTGCTAAGCCGCCGCCGCCGGTGCCGGTGTTCCTCAGCTATCAGGACAGTCTGGGCCAGTACAGTTTCGGCTACAGCGCGCCAGGCTCGGCCAGGTCGGAGGTCAGGACGTCCAACGGTGCGACCAGAGGCACTTACAGCTACGTCGACGGAACCGGGGTTATCCAGACCGCGCAGTACGTCGCCGACGGCGAGAATGGGTTCCGAGTGATCGCGACGAATCTCCCGCAGGCGCCACTTCCGGTCCAGGACACGCCGGAAGTGATGGCCGCGCGCACCGCGCATCTTCAGGCCCTGGAACTGGCGGCCAAGAGGGACGAAGAGGCACAAAATCGCGAGGAGAATCGAGAGAATGCGCGCGAGAAGAAGATCGACGGGAACCAAGGTGACGCGAGTCCCTCGACACGACTTTCGGCAACTGAGATCACGGAAATTCCATTGAACGAGGGGGAGCGAAAAGCGTTGGAGAACACGAAGAATATCGAGCTGAAGGACAGCGACGAGACTCTGCAGGCGGTCGCTTCGACAAGCGGCACTGGCAAGGCGAGCGAGACGAGCACGCAAAAGGTACGTCAACCGTGAAATGCCAAAGACAAAATAAATTTACAAAATAATAACAGAATGGTATTAATGGAGTTGTTAAACATTTTCGAGTAATTACTTCGGTCTTTGTAAATTTTGCAAATTCTCCAATGAAATACCTAAGATACGAGCGTGTTTCGAAATATTCCGCTTCAAAATTCTCCCCTCATCAGCATTTTTGCGACACCGTCCGCAGGAATTCGCCGGAAGAGTATCGCAGGAAATTATCGGCGGCGCAAATATCCCGGCGATCCCATTAATTTCCTCGCACGTGTCGCTGTCTCAGGCGTTGGGACAACACGCGGTGCCGGTATTTCGGATCTCCTATGGAAACTACGAGATCGAGCCTTCCATCATACCGGAGTCATCGATCGCTGAAGGTCAATTTATGATTGTAACTCACCTTACCGTTCACTCTCTCCTCCGCTCTGATTGGAAATATCAAGTCGCCGTGGGCTATTTTGATTAAATACTTTTAAACTTTCCGTTCGGCATAGTTCACATCATCTATATACTTACAATTCTTCGATTTATTTTGTGATTTAAGTGCGTTTTGGAAATTTGAAGCCGCGAGGAAAAATTATTTATTTTTATTTAAAAAAAAAACGAGATTACTCTTTCACTTATGTCTATCGCTTTTTTCCGTCGCTCTTTCGAAGGTCGTCCCACTTCCGGGGCCGAGAACCGTCTGAGGTCACCCATCTCATACCGCGACTGCGACCGGTTCGCAAACTCGTTCGTTTATACTGTAAATTAATTTTGCAACAAATCAACGTTGTGCAAATTGCAGAGCAAATTATAAAGAGTAGCGCTAGGAATGCGAGCTCGTGCAAGAATCGACGCTGAATGAAAATGATTGTCTCGTCCGTTCTTCTCCGCAGGCGCTTTCCGTGATGTGATCACGCCAGCGGCAATAGCCTTGACGAGCACGACGGCGATCTCGACCGAGGGAACGGCGACGCCGGAGAGGAAAGAATCGTCGCAACGTACGACCGAGCAGATTCGCACCGTCAACACTCTGCCGCTCGCACCGCTGCTGGGCGCGATCCCGCTGGATTCCTCGCCGAGTATCATCAGATACCTACCGTCAACGCCGCTCCAGTATGTCGCCTACAACGTTCTGTAAATATCCCGGAAAGCAGAAATATCCTGAAAAGTGTATGAGAGAGATTCGCGGGCGAACACGCGAAGAATTGGAATAAAAGCTCGAACAAATCTGAAATGATCAGGCTGGATTTTGGGGGGGTTCTTTTCCTTTTGCGTTTGTCAAGATATTTTTATTCTTCTTTACAAAATAATGCAGGATGTTGTCGGACAATACAACGGAGTAGTACACGTATTATGATCGATACTAAGGATAAGGATAATCAAAATCAGCGTCGTCGTCGCCATCGCCGCCAGCGTCACTCGTCGTGGAGACATTGGTATAGCGTGAGAAGTAATGCTATAGGTATATAAATGGGATATTGAACAGTAATGCCTAAAGGGGGGGAAAAAAGAATCTGACGCAGAGTTCCTTACAGATAATGGATGAGAGAGCCTAATTAAGAATTATAATGTAAGGTCCGATAATAAAATCACAAAACCACTACACAACAGCCGTTGTATCTAACAGCTAACACGATATATTAATTAAAACAAAGCGTATACCTTCAACATTTTAATCACGTTTCAAGAGACGTCAGACAGGACGAGTTGGACACGAGCAGAAAATATCAGTGTTCAAAATTTCATTTACACACTCCGCCCCGTGAGTCTGAAATCTTTGATTTAATTGATCCAAGGAGAGCGGGATTGGCGATTCGAAAAGGCAACGTTATTTTCGAAACGCAACACGCGACATTGCCTCGTTAGATGTAATTATCTTTAAAATCGCGAGACAATTGTGCCGGACAACCTTTGCCGGTTGAATGTTTATTACGCGGCTCTACATTTTTTTTTACTGGCCTGAGATTTTATTCCTAAATTCTGCATCGCGAAAAATCGCTAATATGGTCACAAACAGTCGCGGCCGCGACCGCGCATTTTTTTTTTCGCGGACGATTTAAGCTCGAGATGGATCGCGCTCTGCGACAATTCATTATCACGGCAGAACGAACCTCAGCTATTGTAGCAAGGCTCGTCCGAGATTAATTACGGCTTCATCTGCGCGTGAAAAACCGCCGCGCTCGTCATGCGACACGCGTAAATCGTACTGAGGAACGAAAGCGACGGGTTTGTCGATAATAACAGGACTGCCAATACTGCTTGATCGTTCGGTAATAATGACACAGTAAAATTATATTAATAGCGACTTTTTTTGTGCGAAGGAAGAGTTATAACGACGTGATTGATATCTGTGCCTCTCCACGCCTCGCCGGTACCCATTTCTCTATACATAACGTTCTCTTTTACATATATATTTTTATATATATATAAATCTAAATTTTATAATATGTATTTATAATGTTCATATTTATATATAACACACTTGTCCTAGACGTCAAATGCATTGACTTCGAAGCTCGGATGATCGACACCCTCCGATCCTCTTCTTTCTCATTTGCTGTCCATTGACCTGCACGGTTTTTCTCCCTATATTCTTCTCGCCCTCTACCCAATATATGCTGCCTCAATATATATTTGCTATGCTGCTACCAGTGACGGGTAATTGCAGCGCGCGATGTACGCAACGTACATATATACGGCTAAACATTGCGCGGAACGTTCTGAATATTTTTTTATATGTTCATTTAAATTAGAAGATACATCTCGAAGTATACTCGTTTATATTTGGCGGATACGCGTTTGTACCTCTGTAGACGCCGCTGTGCTCGCCGCGATACCGCCGTCAAATATCCGATAAACCTGTGTGGAAGCTGCACGGGTCAGTGAAATTCGCGGTTAAAAGTCGTTCGAGAAATGCCCTGAAGAGCCGATTCTTATCGACCCGCGCAGTTTCCCCCCCAGGAAACTCTCACAGCGCGCGATTTCACGTCTCAACGCGAGCAAATTATTACCCGAGAAAACAGGATATAGAATTTATACAGGCATGAACTACTGTACACACGAACATTCGATCATATACGCACCGTGCGCGCCAACAATCGGAATACCTCTTGCAAAAGACGAAATATTTACTTAACGTTACGTGAGCAATATATGGAAACGAGAGTACAATTTCTCTAATTAAAAACAATTCTCACACCCGATCGTCTCAATCCACATCGATCATTTTTTTTTCTTTCTATTGAAAACTTCTTGGTACCTACTTTCGCGACGGTGAAGACCCACCCTTTCATTTTGTGCGGCGTCGCCGCGCAAAAGAAATTTCGCGAATGGATAATTTCAAAAAGATGAAGGAAAGCTCCTTCGTTAATTTCGATTGGAATCGAATAAGAATTGTTTGCAATAAATCTTCATCTTTCGTCTATCTTTCAGCGTTTAAGAGTGCCGTTAAAAATATAAAGAAGACAGTTTACGCGGCGCAGGTTTCATCCCTCCCGAGAATGTCGGATGCGCCACGTCCGCCTGCGTCTCGTTCGCTTTCTCTCGATCGCGGCGTATCTTTTTAATTCGCGCGCGCGTTTGTGTGTGCGGTATGCTTTAAACATCAACGAAAAAAATTGAACTCGATCGGACCGTGTGTGGGGATTACACGTCGCGCGATCGAAATCGTCGCCGCCGACGCGAGAGAAAAACGAGAGGAATCGTCCGAGCGCGCAACCGATTCTTTTTCCCGCGAAAGCTGCACCTTCGGCGAATCCTGCGTACGCGTGCGACGCTTTGTCTTTGTAAAAACGTGGCAATTTGATTGTTCAATCCGAGATACTTGGCCTCGAGAGTAGTCTCGCGACTCTTCGGATGGAAAATGCGACGACGCGGCCCGTCGAATATCCATAAGTCTCTCTCGCGCCTTTCCTTTCGTTTTTTTTTGTATTATTATACTTCTCGTTTGTGCTACGCCTCCCGAAACTACTGCCGACTTACTTGGCGACACGATAAAATTTATTACTTAATGCTCTCTCTATATATAGTTCGCAATTATTAATCTTCTTCTCTTCTTCACGTAAATACGTATACGAGTATATAATCTGTACGCGTCCGTTTTTTTTTTGGGGGGGGGGGGGGGGTTGTACGTGTATGTACGTGTGTGAGTACTCGGGTTTTCACACCGCGTGAATGTCATTAGCTCGGATGATCTCGTCCTGACTTAATTATAATCGTGTATCGACGATTTCAATTGACTACGGTCGAAAGGTGGGCACGTTTTCTTTTCACGCACGTTAATTATGAACAATTGACTTCGTACTCGTTTCTAAAAAACTTATAATCAGACATCAAAGAGCTCTCTCTCTCTCTCTCATTCCTTCTCACACTCTGTTCCGAACAGTATACTCTCTTTAATTTTCGCGCCCGAATTTTCGCTAAAACACCTCGTTATTCGCACAATATATCCTCGCTGGATAAAAGTCGTTAGAGAGCGAATTGTTATGTACTGCATAAAGAAAAAATATACGCGGCTCATTTTCTTGCCAGCACAATAAGCTTGACGTACAAAAAGAATCGGCAAGCTAAGAGAAGTTGGAAACTTTACACAAAATCGATTTTAGAGAAACAATATCAACGATGCAATAGATAACGGCAATAATTAGATATTTGGATGCTACAATCGCGTCATTGTTCTCGTCGATACTCAACGAGGTACTGTTGGAAGTATTTTTATTATTCTCGTTGTATTTAACTTTCGAGAAATATTATTAGATCCTTGCGAATAAAGCAAAGTGCTTCTTTAATACTGTTCCATGCGACTGATTGTGACTTGTGAGTATGTCTGCAGTAAATCTCTAATAAATACTGATAGTAATATTCTGATAGTAGAAGAAGAATAGCAAAAATGTTTAAAAAATAGACAAAATTATTAAATATTAAAAACGCGACACAAATATTAACTGGTTCTATAAATGCAATATTATACATCGCATATTCACATGGTCATATTAATAGATTATTAATTACTTATAGACGCAATTTAATTTAATAAAATAATTAATATTTGATTTTCCCAATTATTAATATTGTTACGCTAAATGTAAACTCGATTTCTAGATTAATCTATAAAGCTATTTATAAAATACGGATTTTTTTCTTAAAAAGAATTATAAGTCATCACAATATAAAAACACAATGGAAAAAAACATTAATTTGATTTGTCTCATCTTCGTTCTCAATAAACGATTCGTCATAAGAGTATTTTGTAAAGTCTCTATAATCTATGTCTATAAACAAATGAAAAAATATTTTGCAATTTCTCATCGTGCAAAATTATTTACAGCGTACCGCTAAATTCACCAATATTCCTTCAGGAATAAAATTTACAGTTATTTTTTCGTTCCCAGGTTCAATTTATCAGAATTTACATATTATTCTCTGTTAAATCGTTAAGTATTAGTTTCTTGAAAACTTTTACTCTATTAATATTAATAAACATAAAGTTATGTGTACTTATTAATTATTATCTACTTTCTTTCCACGATATATATAATGCTTAACTTTTTTTCATGATTTATTATTTATTTATGTTATAAAGTATTACAGTGAAAGATAGTAAAAATTGTTACGATTTAATATTTTTTCTTTCCTGGAATTTAATAAAATTACTTCTCTATTTAACTCAGAAATGAATTTATCGATACGCTGCAATCGGACGAGATTGAAATCGAGACGCATCGCTTCCCTCGAAAAAGAACGAGACCTCCGATTTTCTTACTAAATTAAAAAAAAATTAGCAGCTTACCTACATTTACGCTACGTTAACTTTCGACTAATCGTAATCGTCAGCGTCCGCCGTTGTTTCTCCTTCTCTATTAATCTCGAGAACGCTGAGAAATACTTAATAGGGACTTTATACACATATTACGTTTACCTCGCGCGATCGCGCTATTTGTTATAAAGTAATTTATCTAAATTGTATGCGCCGGTCTATGTCTTATCAGCGTGAATCTTAACACGAGTATGCCGACTACGACTCCGCTCCGGAAGACGGAGCTCGGACCTTATCGCGAATTTCTCGGCGATCGGAGGACCGAGTTTGTCTTCCGCGGCGCAAACATGTTCGTCCTCGTTAGCTCCCCCTCGTAAAGCGCATAATCTGAATATCCATTTGTCTACCTAACTACACGGAGCCTTCGCGAGAGCTCCATCACGCGCGTTACCACACATACGATGGATTTCGGCAGGCGATTAATCAGTTATTTAGACCGTTCGCCGAGTCCGTTTCGTCCCGACGAAATCGGCAAGCTCCATTTACTTACAGACATCGTGAATCAGGGTGATTTATAAATGGTAAACCGGAGAGGTGTTGCGCCAGACTTCGGAAACATACACGTGAGATATGCGGTTTTTCTTTTTACGTGTACATATCTTGCTGCTCGTGAGGGTGTCGTGGTGTGTTTGCGAACATGTGTCTCGTGTAGCACACAATGATGCACAGAGAACAGCATCATGCAGGAGAGAGATTTCGAAGATCGAAAACTGCAGCGACACGGGTTACATGTCGTTCTTGATTCGACGTCGCTACGCGCTGAATTATCTTCCATTCTGCGTCGATATTTTAGAGATATTTCTCAAAATTGAAGAGGAATATATCTATTAATATAATAAAATATCGAACTGCAGAAGGTCGTACGTGTTATTAATTATTTTTGTTTAATTAACAATACAATTGGATTATTATCATATCTATTTTCATGCGTAGCGATACTATTATCGAGCCAATAACGACATAGTAATGTCTTAGCGAGTGTCCACGTGCCGGAAAGATCAAAGTTTCTAGTAATAGCGGTAATAGTATAGTAGAATTATATAGTAACAGTAATAGAATAGTAGTAATAGTAGTAGTAGTAGTAATAGTAGGCCGTACGAAGTAGATGGCGAAGGGGAAGACGACGACAGGCAGTAGCATAGCGATAGTTCGACGATCAGTTCGAGCTGGAAGAAAAGTCACTGGGAAAAAAGAGGAACTGAAACAGAGATCTGAAAAATTAATGGAATTAAATAAAAATTAAATCTCTCTTGAGAAGATTCCCTCCGGAATTAATTACACCGAACAATCGAGTCTCGACGTCCCGAGGAAAGGAAATGTCGGTCGATTAAACAAAGAAAAAAGAAAGAAAAAGAAAAAAGAAATTAAAAGGATTATCAAACGGGATTTCATCGAAAATTGAAGCTCTAGTACTAGTATACAGATATTATTGCTGCGGAATGAAAGGTATCGCGATTGCAAGTATCACAGCAACGTGTGAGGTATCTCCCCTCACGTAACGAGCTACGTAGAGGGAAAAGAAGAGCGCATTATTGGAGTCGTGAGTCTTAGAAAAAGGGACAGGGTTATAGTACATATATATACATTGAGATAAGAGTGTGTGTATATATATAGCATGTATATATATAGTATACAGACAGATGTAGAGCTACATAGATATACGGAACGCTAGAGGTACAAGTAGAACATGATATATGGAATACGAAAATTATATAGAGTGCCACTAGACTTAGTTATGCAGCATGTTGACAATACAAAAACGTTAGTACGGTAGTGGTCAAGCTCGTCAGAGATAAACGCGACGTCCATTCAATAGCTCGTGCGGTTCCCCCGGTGCTCTCGCGCAAAATATAATCTTCCCCCGACGAGATATATGCATCTTTGCATCTTGTTCAATAAAAAAAAAAAAAAAATACAAGTATTTACATCAAATATTTTCCAACAACGCGTTGAACGATCAATCCCCTCGTTTGCCGAGCAAGAATTTTAATATTCGTTTGATTCTTTTGGCCTGATAACGATTCTCGTCGTTCAAAGCCATTTATTCTAATTAATAATTATTGATTAGGATTTTAAATATCTCTCATCAATTTTCAATATATTAAGGATAAAGAGCGATACGCTCCGACGTAACAGGACTCGTCCCGAAAAATATGGATGGACGTCGAGAGTGATCTCTGACACATATCGGAAGTGTGTGTGTGTATATATAGATATATACACTTGTTGGCAAAAATTCAGTGCCACCGGAGCAAAATAATCGCACGGCTTACGATCGTGCTCGCAATCTCGACTCGGTCGATCGACGTCGCGGCGGAGACATTGCCAACGCATATATAAATTACTCTGTAAGGATCGCGGCTCGATCCATTCTCTCTTCTCCTCTCTAATACCACATTAGACGCCTCTTGCTTCCCTTCACTTCTCATCTCATTCTCTCCCTCTCTCTCTCTTTCTCTCCTCCCTTCTCGCCACTTCACTTCGCGCACTCTTTCTCGATTCTAAAAAGGTAATGACGTTGATCCCATAGAATACAGTGTTTTAAACATCTAGGCACAATTCCTAATGATTGTTTTGGGCGAGCTTGTGCGCAAGAAAATCTTCCTCCCTCACTCCCGAACGGCGGAACTCTGGTTTCTCGATCTTTCGTCGCGTCGTGGATGTTCTGCCCGCTTCTAACACAACGTCGCGGGCAATTTCTCAACAGAAGCGCATAACTAAGAACAATAATCCTTAGAGAGATGGAAAATACGTGTGCTTTAATTATTATTGAAATTGCGCGCAAAAGAGGTCGACAAATCTAAATATATGACGACTTCGATGTCTTCAATTTTCGTCAAATAATCTATAGAGAGAGACAGTTTGATATAAAAATTTCTTTACTTCGCATACCACTTCGATGTAAGATTGTGCAAATCATCAAGAGATCGAACAATTGTGATTAATTAACGATTAATTATGCGCTTCTCTCGCGTTTTTTTCTTTTCCGGCAATGCAGAGTTTTTCAAACGCGTTGAAAGATACGAAACACCAAGTTCGCAGTTACCCTTTCTTCCTGTGTAGACCGTAAGGGTCACCGCGCGCGTGTGGATCACGAGCGTCGAGTGTGCAATTTGTGATTCACTCAGTTTTGATCCACATCGACGCGGTTTCTCTTAATTAAAAAAAAAGGCAGAAGTAAAAAGAAAAACAAGATAAAGTAGAGCGGGTCATATGAGCGGGAAGTCTGAGGATCGCGCGTGAGAAGCGACATAAGGAGTTTATCAATATGTGATGTGTATATATATTTATATGTATAATACATACATATAATGCATCCCTCAGGGATAAGAAATAAATCGTTCCTTTTCGGGGAATAAGTAAGATCGCACGAAGCGCTCTTTAGGTCGCCCCCGAGGATCGCGCGTAATGGAAAAATGATTCAGGGAGAAGGGGCGATCAGGCGGCCGGAGATATACAGAAAAAAAAAACACAAAAAAATGGGTAGGTTTATTTTTTTTCTTGTTTCAATCGTTTTCTTGACAAATCGAAGATTAATTATATGTATATGTACTTTCGTCCCGCTCGCTCGCGAAGTCTTTTTATTCTCGCTTCGACACTCGGTGATATCAGAGGAAAGGATGGTCAGTGGAAGAAATAAATGTGTCGAGGGATATAGTGTGACAGAGAAAAAAAACGGTATAGAGATTCGCAACACCAAGTAGATGCAAGGGGAGGGAAAGGGGAAAAGGATAAGTGGAAATTTCGATTAAAAGTAATTGTTTTTTTTTTTCGTTAAAAACGAGATAAAATAAAGAACAGGCAAGGACATACAGTTACTTACGAGCCGTAAACGCATTGACGGTTACAGTAAGAGCAAACATTGGTCGGAGCGGCAACAGTAGCACTCATAGTATAGTAGAGTAATACAATAGTAGAGTAATATAGATAATGATAAGAATAGAAGTATAGTATAAAGCACATACGATTTATATGTATATATAATAATAATATATGTATAGAGAGAGAGAGTATGTGAGAAAGATTAAGAGAGATAGAAGTAATATAGATGATGAAGAGAGAGAGAAAAGTAGAGACAGAAAAGATATAGTATAGTTATGATAGATGCTGAATAGAGTGTGATAACGATCCACATTGCCATTAAACTCGATTATCGTAAGAAGATAAGGCGTGCCCCATCTTTCTCCTCTTTTTTTTTAATTTTAAAAGTTACTGATGCTACAGTCATCGCAAATTAAATAGCAATAAGAATCGTCGTGAATTTTTCTGACGGAGAGAGAAAAGTTGAAGCGGAAAAAGTAAGAGTGATAACAGAATATGACTAATAGTGACTAATAGTGAACAGTGATGAGAGTAGCAATAGTAGAGTAATAGAGTGGAGTAATAGAGTATAGCAGTAAGTGACAGATAAGAGTAAACAGTGATAGATAAGAGTAAGAGTGAACAGTAGTACGATTATCAAAGAGGGATAGTCCGGAGAAATTAATTAAGATAATGATAAAAATATACTACGAACTAAGAAGTGCGTTTTCTAGCAGAGAAGAGCAGTCTCCCTCTCTCTCTCTCTCTCTCGGCACGTAAAATTAAGCGCGTCGTTAATGCTAAGATAAAAAAAAAGAAGGAAAATTTATTAAAGATAAGAATAAAGTAATTATAATAAGAGTAGATAATTAATATTAATTAGCGCTAATAATAGTAAGAATCGCAGTGGCGATGATAATAGCAACCGGCGACGATTAAAAAGTATAAAAATAAGATTAAAAGTAAAAGAAGCGCAAGGATAAAACGCAAAAAAAAAAATACAATAGCTTCAGCGGGAAGAAGTAGTGAACGATGATAATACCGATAATGTCAAAGTGGTGGAACGGGAATACTCGTAAGACGCTAAAAACGCGGACAGACCTGGAAGATATGCAAATTGTACAATCGAACTTCTCGCACTCTTGTGATATGTACATAATATTCCCTTAAATATTTCCTGAGGTAATTTCACGAACGAGCATACATGTAAACGTAAAGGAACTTATTTTTTTCGCGCAAGTGAGATTCGTGAAACGTTATCTCTAATTCACAGAAAAGTTACGCTCGTCTAAATACACACACCTCTTTCGGGCTAATAAAACAAATAACGCGGACAAGAAATTATAAATACGAATAGAATAGGAAAACAGGCATCTCTCGAGATGTTTTAAGGACGAAGTTAAATTAAGAAGAGAGAAAAATTTATACGTTACAAAACTTGGAACGATACGCAGCCAATGGAACAAAACGACGCGCCAACGATCGATCTCTTTTGAGATCGAACGGTAAAAGCGCCTCCAGATCTGTCGAGGTGGAAAATCGAGAAAAAAAAATACTTTTTTTTTTTCGTAAAACAGGGCTGGGGTCCAAGAGTCGAGCTATAAAAAGGTCGTGGGCGATAATGTTAACAATATCGCGTCGGCGTACACTGTACAATGTGTTTTGGTTTCCGTGGTGAGCGTGTCGCGCCAAAAAAAAGGCACGTGGAAGATCGTCAATCGTATGTGTTTCACGCGTGTCAAAAAGTATATATATCTTTGTGTTTTAATAATATATATTGTATATAATAATATATATATATATATCTCATGCATGTGTGTATGTATGATAAATGCGAACGTGTGGATGTGCGCGCGTCTCGCGTAAATGCTGATGACCGGACAATAAAAAGATCGGTCTCGTCGATCGTTTTCTTCGACGATCCGAAAAAAAGAGTCTCTCCTCCCTTTTACTCCTCTCCTTCTCTCTTTTCTCCACATTACAACTGTGTGTTCCCTGAATTTTTGTTTCTCTTACTTTCTTCTTTTTCTCCTGCCGCGCGCTTCCATCGCGATTCGTGCACCGCGGTGCAGGGCGCAACGAATGAAATAAAATAAAAAAAAAAAATGATCACTCGCGATCTCCGCCTTCCTACCGATAGACTAATCCCTAATCGAACTTACTAAGAAAGAGCTTAACCGTAAAACGCCCGCTCTGACAATGGTTCTCGTCGAAAGAAAATTGTCTGTTTTGCCGGAGACGAGCTGATTGTGACTTGCAACGCAATTCCTGGCCCATGATTGGTTTTCTCTCTCACATATATATCTTTTTTTTTTTTCGAAGATTTATCAGATTTTAGAGCGCGCCTCGCCGAAGATCGACCTCCTGCTAACGCGATCCCGCACGTTTCCAGATTTTATCAGCCGTGCTCACGCGTAGCAAATATTGTTTTCCGCAATAACGGAGAAATGTCTTTCAAGAGACTGAAAGATCTCCTTTTTTTCCTATCTTTTTTATGGACAGCGACGTGCGGGATTGCCATCAGCTGTTGATCGGATCGGCGAACGGCGACTGTGAGACGAGGGAAAGAAGGAAGGTAGACGCAGAAAACCAAGGATCTTCCTGGGCACGGAATTTTGGAAAGTTCGAGAGCTAAAAGGCGGAGTTGACACACTTGTCACGATAGGCTTGGAAGTTTTTTTTTTGCAAATAGGCGAAACATAGCTGGCAAGATTGCTCGGAAAGGCTTGGAGCGAAGAAGTGATATATGTACAACCTGAGATTTTTCATGAAATTACCGAAAAGGATGAGAAACGTTAAAAATGTTACTCTAAGCTCTATATAAATTTATCGAACGAAATATATTCCATTTTCAATATTCATTCGCGAACGATTTTTATAAAATTTCTCATTAATGCGCCAACCAATAGGAGACTCAACAATGCAGCTAACATATCGTTAAAAGGCAATCCGTTAAAGATATATATTATCAGCCACGAAATGTCGCGAAGACATAAAACTGTCCTTCCAACAATCGTCTTGCGAGAGAAACATCGATCTAGTTACAAATCTAGAACACCGTCGGATATAAATAAGTCGCGATAACGACGCGAGCCGGAGAGAAACGAAACAACGTATTTTTATCTTTATATCTTCCGTTTTCTTTTCTTTTATTTACAGTTTTCTGGCTTGTTAGATTGCGAATTCGCGCGCCTAGTTGTCCGCCAGCTCGGTGAAATTCTCTCGAAGAAGGAAAGTCCACGATCGGAGAGTATGATGGGGGAAAGCCTCGTTGTAGGGGGCGGGGATGATAAGGGGATGTGAGGGGACCGAGAAAAAGAAGGGAACACGAAGAAAGGGGGTTCGGTGCGTAGGCAGCTTATCACGGCTTTTCCGAGATTTCCTTCGTCAAATTGTCGATACAGAGAGTCGAGTGATTGTCATTTAACTATACACATTACTTAAGTCTGGAGGCTTAATTAGAAAGGAGCTACTACACGACTCTAAGACGCTACTAACGTTTCTTTTTTTTTTTTAACTTCGCTAAACATTCCTCGTTACACATCGCCGCCTTTCTCTCTCCTCCTCTCTTCTCCCTTAAGCGACTCGCTTCTCATCGCCTTAATGACTACTGCTTAGTTAATTTCTACAACTCTCGTTGACTTACAACGTACAGCGGTTTTTCTTTTTAACGTAATTCAGCCGTCCTTTGTACGTGCCGCTAATCGAGAAGAAACAAACAGATACCCTACATTTCCGACTACGAAGGTGTCGTCTCGTCACGAGAGGCTCTAAACGATCCCCTCAATCTCGCTACTTATCTCTCTTTATCACCTCAAAAATTAGGCTCCATTGAATTGTACGTTTATCTCTACGTTCGCGTTCCTCCTCTCTTACGGTATACCTGGTTATATTGGCATGGCGACAGCGATAGAGCGATACAGTCTCGGTACTACTCGAAATATTTGATAGCGGCTCCGTCATCGAGGCCTCTCTTTGCTATTCCCCCCTTAAAGTAAGAAACCCACTGTAGGACTACGAGACGTAAGGACCGGTCGAACCGCTTCCTTCTCCGCGAACGAAGGTAAAATTGATTGACAGGTTGATTGATCGTTCGTTCGTTCGCGGTCCTACCGTCTCGTCTCCGTCACGCCTCCGTCCTCGAAGTCTAAACTGGCCCTCGTGACCCTCGAAAGTAAGAGCCAGGCAAGAAAATCGCGGAATCACTCAGTCAACAGGCACACCAACGAATAATCCGCGTGTCCCAGCGACCTATGCATGTCGAGACGTTATTTACGCAGAAGAAGAAACCTCGCGTTTCGGATTCTCCTCGTCCATCCGCGCCCAAAGGATCGAGATAACAATCGATGTGATAAACGCAATCTGAAAGAGCTGAATTTAAGGTTTTAGCTTTATCTAAAGAATAATATTAATTGTTGGCGTTTTGATGTAAAAGTAAAGTATGATCTTCACAAGTTCTCCGAGTCTTTATGGAGTGTATCATCCAATTGTGATTGCTTTAATATTATAGCGTTTAATTTGAAACCGATCGCTATCTCAACCCTTCCAATCGGTTACTCGATCCGCTCTCTTACTGTCGACGTTCTATCCCGAAGACCTCTTTGTTACGGTCCGCACTTTGGAGACCCTGTGTGTCTTTTAAATGCTTCTCCCCTCTCGCGATAAACTAATGTATACTTATTTTAATTTTTCGAGCTGTATTTTTCCGTGTGAGTGTATGTGTTTTGTGTACGTCGTGTGTATGTCGTCAAGTCGTATTTTCTTGCTGCTGGCCGCCCGTTACCATAAAATTAAAACTGTTCTCTCGATATTAAGAAGAAGGAATCACTTGCGAGTCGTGATGGACTGCCAATAACTCGCAATTGTGAGAAACATGATAGATCGCGACGTCCTAACTCTAATACACGAAAAAAAAACTTGACGCGAGAAAACGGGGACGCCGTCGGCAGCGATGACGCGTTCTTGGATCTGTTCCTTTCTCGGTATAAACAACGCCTAAGGCCCCGGTTAGGCAAGCAGATCGTATCCTGATAATTTTCTCAACGATGTATCTCTAAGATAGCACAGATATAGTCATTTTAAACTCATCATATACATATATATTTTTATACCTCACGCCTCTATCCGATGACGTTAACGTTGCATATTGTATGTACGTGTGTATGTGCGTGTGTACGCGTGTCCTCCTCCGTCTTTGCCGTTTCCATGTACTTGAGAGTTCCGCCGCGCATTATACAATATATATATATATTCATATAGATTAATCTCTCTAATTTATGATAATCCGTAACACGTTAGTAACCCTATATATAGACTTATCCCTTATTAATAAAATATAGATTATCGGGATGCAGCCGCCGCACATTTTGGACACACCTGTTACAATGCGATATATCAAATATATAATAGATATAAGTCCGTGTGTGAATGTACGTGTGTGTGTGGGTGTGTGTGTATCTGTGTGGGTGTATGTCTGCTTGTATGCTCGCGTACATATTATAGTTCAATGTTATACCTTCTGTGTGTAGGCTAAGCTTCGTTTACTAACGTGGCTCTCTATCAGACCCCGAATTTCCTTTGGTCCGAGTGCAACGCCGCGCCGTCGATTCTCCCCCCCCCCCCCCGTGTCTCGTGACTCTTCCCTCGGGATCAACGAACCGTGCGATCATCGATACGCGGAATTTTACACCTTAACAAGAAACAGACATCGCGTCAGGATAATGAAACCGTTAATGCCCGCTTGAACATCCTTGCTGGAGATCTTTTCTTCTTTGATTACGATTCGCGATCTACCACTCGCTGCCCGGATGTTCTCGCGTTCTCCTGGATACACGAAAGGGTAGCGCTTACTAGTCGCGAGGGGGGGGGGGGGATGAAAGCGAACCCCCCCGCTGAACTATACCGGCCGATTCCTCGCGCGACGAGTCTGGGGAAATTTCGGAGTCTGAATAAATTCTACGACACCATGTAGCGAGTGCTGGCTACTCCAACCCTCACCTCGGCCCCCCTCAACCCAGCTAGTGATATAGTCGATCCGTCTACAGGGTGCCTCCTCTCTTTTCTTCTTCATCTCTCTTTTTTTTTCTTCTTTTCTTTATCACGCGAGGACCGTCCGAGCGGAAAGGAGGAAGGCCGATCTAACGTGTCGTACGGCGACAGAATAAACCGAATAAGTGTGCGATTTAACGTCGGGCACCCTGTAGATATCTATAGCTCCGTATTATGGCTGCCCCGTTTCCGGTACGACGTATTCTACTAATAATAATAGTCCATCACGGAAAGAAGCGGCTCGCGCCGCTCGCGAAACGAGTTACTTTGGCGATAACGCTTCGGAAGGAACCTCGCGCCGAATTCCTCCTCCTGCGAGCAGAAAAGCTGATTGTCACCATTAGCGTGGTGTGGATGTCGAAGAAAAAAAAGAAAGAAAGACGGAAAGGGGAAAGAAACGTTCGGGGTTTACGTCGCGAGAGGACATTCCGAAAACGAGAGAGAAAGAAAAATGAAGAAAGGGGATGAAACGCTGGGTGCGTGCGTTTACGTGGATCGTCACGTGTGTTGTGTGTTCCGTGTGGATGGGTGGTGTGCGGACGCGTGCCGTACGCGTCGGCAGGAATGTGCTAAGAAACGGCCGGCAAGCGACAAAATGTAATTAGCGATCTGGCGTGAACGACGGTGGGTGCTCGACGTTGCGATTCGCGAAAAAGATACACGTATTTGTGTATGTTTGTGTATATATATATGTATGTATAAATCGAAATATATATATATGTAGCTCGGGAAATCGAGTAACACTCTCTGTGCGAGCTGTTCAGGTACGCTTAGACGATATTCGTGCCGGAAGTAAGAATTGTACGGAAGCTCCCGCACAGTCTCTCCCTCCTTTTTTTTCCCATCCTCGTGGCACTCTCACGCTAGGTTCCGCGATATGCGATAAGAATCAAGGAGATACGAACGTGTAAACGCGTGTCAGCGCGCGGGCTGTGTACAAGACGCTTTAAAGGTGCCGCACGAAAAATGATCCTGGCAAACGGAACGGGCAAAGTAGGATCCGCGTAAGAGCGAGAAGCGCCTCTTGAATTCCTAGATCAATACAATAGAGCGAACTAAGCGAGCCACCTAAAAACGAGAAGAATCTATTTCATTCGGTCAAATAAAAGCTGTATCGCGCGCTGTATGTATATACATCCGTGGGCGATCGCGGAGATGTATTTTCGGTGTATTATTAATGGATATATATGTATGAGTGTATGCGCGAGTGTGTATATGTGTGTAGGTTTCGTGATTTGCCTCACGTGTGAGGCAGACGTTGCAGTCCGGGTGCTCGGAACGTGTGTGTCCGGTTAAGAATGTATAAATGCAGTCGAAGTAAATAATGTAGTATCAGAGGTCCGAAAGACACAGATCATAGATGCAAAGACTGGCCCCTTCGCTCATGCCGGCTACTCGCTACATCTCTAAACAACTAGCTGATTGGTCAGTATTCGATCAAAGCGAGATCGCCGATCAGGGGGGGTCCCACGTATGACCGTGCGAGGGGGAGAACCCCCGGGGATCGGCGTCCGCACGATCGAACAGGGATATCCCACTGATCACCAAGAAATCCCATTCTAGAATATTAACTGCTAGCCTACTTTGGCACAAACAGCACATCATGCCCGAGCCGGCATTCGCTTTGTTTTATATATTTTTTTTCACAGTTTCGTCACTTTCCCCGCCTTGTACGATCGCTGCGCGGTTCTCGACATGGAGGAACTCCTCTTCCCACCCCCTCTACGTAGTTCATCCGTCCAGAGTCGCGCGACACTACACTCGCGTGAATACAACTCGTTCGCTCCATCTCTCTCTCTATTTCTCTCGCACTCGCGCAATTACTCTCTCTCTCTTTCTCTCTCTCCCTCTCGCTCGCCTCAGTTACGCCTTCGCATAACAGTCCTTCCAACACGCGCTATTCATCTTCCTACTTCTCTCTACGATCAGTTATGTTATATCAGTAAAATTTAATTGACTCCAACAGAACGTCGATTAGACAGAAACCCGTGGGCTTCGCCGGTGCGCGCGCGGCACGTTTCATCGCTTAAGGACTTCAGGATTCTCACTCTTGATAAAAATGAGAGATCGATCATCCTCAATGCAGCGCCCGATTAAAATTCCGCCTCGCGCATCTCGACGAGGACACCCCAGACGCCTCGAAAACCGTCCCAATCGATTTCTACATCTTGCGCTTTATCATCACGTCGCGCTACATCATGCTTCTACTAAATCCCCGTAAATACGATTCTAGCTTATTACTTTGCTTTCATATCCACGTATTTATGCATCTACAACGCTCCGTCTAACAAGGACTCAACATTGCAAATGGGCTCATCGGATGATGGCCACCTCGAATACTAATGTTTGATACTTTTCTCGAAATATTCGCTTGTGTTGACGGGGCATCCTCACAATCGCCGACTACTGAAGGAATGCTTTGATATCAGGAACTCTCGATGGGGTAAAGCGAGGCTCGTCAAACGATGGACCTATCGTTGGCACAAAGATAGGATACTCTTCTCTTTTCACACACGGATATCATCCATCGGCGCGAGCCATCTTCGAGGTGTCCCGAGTGTGTCACGTCGATCCGCCAAAATCGATACAAACATTCTGCGCGCGCCCCGCACGTTGCAAACTTTTTAATTAGCGATATGTTCAACAGTTCACTCTTCCTCTCCTAGTCAATTACTTATCTAGTCGCTTACTATACGATTAAGATCCTAACACATGCCTAAGCATCTATTCTAACTAAGAAATCTGCGCGCATTCAGTTGTATCTATGCGTCTGTGTGTATTTGTGTTTGTGTTGTATGTGTGTATTATAAATCAGACGGCGGTTGAAACATTTATCTTCGCGCGCGGCGCATGCATGATTGTGTGTATGTGTGTCTCGTGTCCGTGTACGTATAACTGCATAATTGTACGGTCTTGTAAAGACGCGATTACGTGTGCGGGTGCGATATAATACTTATCTCCAAACTGAAACATACAAATTATAAAAATGCCATCTGCGACGACCGTACGATGACGCGTGCAAAACGCGCCGCGTGGGCCTCGGAGCGAAGGACTTCGCCTCAGCCATCGAGCGTTCAGGCGCCGTTCGACCCCTCCTAAGAAGCGTTCGACTTCGCCGGATAGTCGAGAATACTGCAGGTACTCTTCGAGAGCGAGAAACTCACCCCGCGAAGAAGCATAAACGTAGGTCGAGCGGGCCTGAGTACGTTCAGAGTAGCGTAGCCCAATTAGAATTAGCTCTCAGCACGCAACGAACGACTTTGATAATTGCTTCGCTTCCGCCTTACGAACGGATCAACCAATCGCGAATAAGTAACGGATACGGAAAGAATTTTGAAGGCCGATTTTGGGGCCACCACCGCTGCGATTTCGGCTGCTGCCAATTCCGCGACGTAAAAATCAAGGCGAGGGCGATCGGTTCGTCGGCGAAGTAGTAGTACCTCGTGAAAGCATGCAAAAGGTCCCGTGACATTGGCCATTTTCTTACTTAGATACCCGGTTAATTAAACACGCCGTTCCCGTCGTACTCAATCGATCAGCATCGTCGATCGTATTGTCTCGCCCTCGAACGGAACGGAAGCCACGAAGAAGTACGCTCGGTCGCGCATGTATTTGGTCGTCAGAAGAATGAAGATTGTCTGGTGGGAAACGCTGCTGGTTCACGGCTGTCGGTCGCCGCCGTCGCCCGTGAACGTACGACGATCGTCGGGATGGACCTCGCAGTCCATTTATCTCCACTTGGCTTCCCCCCTCGAGTCCGTTCGCTCGTCGAACGAACACGTCGACCTACGGAGACCTACTTCCGAACTGTGATATACGGACGCCGTCGCGCGCGCTTATCGCGAGATGGTCGCCCTTGTGTCCACGTAACTTTGAAAAATCCTTAACCGTAATCACTGTAGCGGTCCGGGCCGCGCGATCATGAATTTTACATGTATAATAATATATCTTATCTTCCCTAGCGTTAACTCTGTACAAGAGTCGAGGACTGTTCGCCACACTGCGCTATTTCCTCGCTCCCGTCTAATCTTAATCTCTCTTTCCTCTTTTACGCGTGCTTTCTCTATAGCCCGGCTGCTAGGCTCTTCGTCTCATTTGCATATAATCTCTCTCTCTCTTTCTCACTTTCTCTCTTTGTATTTTTCTTTCCCTGCGACGGTCCTGGCTTTCACAAGAATGATCGATTTGTCGCGTTATTATCTTTCTCTTACTCTCACTCTCACTCTCTCTCTTTCTCTCCCCGTAATCGTCGTCTGTTTCTAAATTCCTCACATTAAAAATTATGAAATTGTCGCGTTAATACGCTCGAAAGCCAGCACCGGAAACTACCTTCGAGAAGGCCGTCGCGAATTTGCCTCTTCATCATCTAACTTGAGCGCTTGCAGCCCTGGTACATCTCGAAACACCCTAGCGACCCTCGAATCGTCAGAATCAACCGGATGCGGAAATAGGTGCGTGCCATATGTATAGACGTCCCAACAACAAGGGCAAGGCCTCGAAAGCATCCTAAGCTCGCTCGGACGAGGTAGCTCCTAGTCCGCTTGTGCTGCCGCTTCGAAGTCCGAGTGCGCAACGTAGTCCCGCATGGGTCACGCGTGCAGTGCAGCCGGTCGACAGCAGCGTAGCGATTCTCGCAGGAACGGACGAGCACCTGAGCGGATCCAGCTACGGGACCATCAATCGTAGACCGAAGCGGGTGACCAAAGGGGGACTAGGGTGTACGGCTGGTACCACTGCTGCTCGTGCGGTGGCGATTCTTGTTAGATGTTGCTCTTGGAGAACGACACTCTGAGATGGTTGGACTCGCTAAGCTGGTAGTTGTGCATTTTCTGCGAAAAGAAGAACGGTCGGCTTTATAGTCAAGCAGTTGGAACTTGCATTACACGTCGTATAGTCATTACCGCTGTCAGATATAACTTCGATTAGATTTCAAGTAAAGTTAAAACTTTTTTCTCCGTACTTTCTTTTTCCTCAAAAATACTTCCGTAAGAAGAATCGATACATATTATCTTTTTAAAATTAACACAAGGAATTCTACATATTTCTCGTCAAAAAATTAAGATTAATAAATAATAACAAAAGCAAACAAGTTTTAAAAACAAAGCTCCTTCAGAGTGAAAGTTGAGCAAAGGGCTTACAACACTTTTCCATAAAAATTGCAACTAATGAAACAAGAAGGAAGCCATATATAGGCTTTTCACCAGGAGGCCAAAGTTCAACTTGAGTTGTAACACTATTGACAGTAATAATGACTTACGATCAGCGCAGCCACGGCATCGTCCATGTTAGGCATCTGTATGAGAGCCATCTTTCTGTCCTTCGGGAAGAACTTGAAGGCTTTCACGGTGAAGCCGTTCTTGGTGAAAGCATCTTTGATCTCTTCCTCCGCTACCGTAGCCCTGAAAAAGTAAATTGAACGTCGTTAAGCCAGTGGAAGAAGAATGCCGCGTGAAATACTTAATTCATGCACCGTTGCTGGATCACTTACGGAATGTTTGATAAATGCAGAGTCGCGCTCGGCGGATAGATGTTCTGGTAATTCTTCGAGCCGGGTTTTTTAAATCGATGAAGGGTGCTGTTGGTGTAATCTTTCGTGAGGCCCGCGTCTGGCTGACCTTCTTTTGGCAATTGGACTGTTTGGTGTTTGCTGAGCATTACTTTGATTTGCTTTCCAAACACTCTTAACTTGTCCATATGAGTTAGCGCTGTTACATAAATTAAATAATATTAATTAGCCATTGATGTATTTAAATGTAACATAATTAAGCTGTAATTATAATACAGGTCATACATATATAAAATAAAAAACCGTGTTTTGTAATTTCTTACATTAAAAAATTCCATACTTCGAGTTTATAGAAATATATATATTTTTTTCGAGACAAATTTAATTAAGAGATTATTTACGAGACTATTTACAAAATTCGATTTCAAGTCACCATTATGCATGCCCGCAATAAAAATCACTCACCTAAAAGCGCCTGATGAGGTTCGGCCATCTGTATTAGTGCCGAGTCTTTCTTGTTGTAGAGGATCTTCACACGCTGTACATCCCCGTAAACGCCTATATGCACAATACGCAAATTTCTCTTTAGTAAACTCGGACGGGAGCAACAAACCGCTTTTTTTTTAGACAGGCTGTTTTGAGGATTATCGAAGATGAACGGGACAATATTTCGGTCGATCGAGATCGGGGTACGATCGGATCTAAGAAATCGGGACATGCAAGAGGCGAGCGATTCGGCTAGAAGCTTTACTTTCAAAGTACAAAGTTACTTCGGTTAACAAAATAACGGAAATCTGTTATAATATTTAAGAGTAATCTCCGTATTGATAATTCTATATATTTCAGAGTGCACGCCATTTTTTCTATGGAACGTTCTCTTTTAATAATAATTTAATTTGCTAAAAAATTAGAAAAGCTAGAAGTTATTATTGTAGAGTAAATTTGCAATTATTAATATATTGATAATCAAATAAATTTTTGTTAAAATGAAACGCATTAAATTAACGACAGCGACAACATTTTACCCGTGTTTCCACCGAAGTTTAATTAATTTAAATTCTACATTTTTCGATGTTACACGTAGCTACAGAGCGAAGCGAATGAAATTTTCGCTGACTAAAAGTCGAAAAAATGGATGTCTACGGGGCGGACAGAAAATTTTTTAATAATTTTTTAAAAAACGCGTTTCGCAACACAGTACGTGATTTTTGTACGTTCGTTTGTAATTATCCGGGAAAATCTGCATAACAATCGCTCGCGGGAAGGAAAAACGCGACCGCAGCCGAGTCGCCACGCCTCGTTAATAGTGAGTTTTCCTATGGAATTACGTAAAATAAGCGAAAGCTTACGTAATATTAAGGTTGTGTGGAACTGATATTAATAAAATATTAATGAAATAATCTTGTATAAAGAGATGCTTGGAAATAGAGATTGTGAGAGAACGTGTGTTCGGTGGTGGTGGTCGAATGGGCGGCATGACGATATGGTGATGACGGTATGAACGGTGATTATGAAATTTGCGAATGGAGTAGCTTGTAGTAATAAAATAAGTTGAAATCACGAAAATATCGAAAGAGATACGGATTAAACGTTAATCAGAATGTGTTATGTATGGCGGATGTTTCGACGAGAATAAAACATGACGAGAGGGAAAGAATGAACGATGCTCGAGTTTTGTGAGTTGCCGAAAAGAAAAAAAGAGAGAGAAAAAAATAATCATACAAATAAAACAAAAAAAATAATAATAATGAAACGAAATAAAAACAAAACCGAGGAGGAAGGAAGAGATCTTTTCTTCTTTTATTTTTCGGTATGAAACGTAAACCTCGGACGTGACAATCGTGTATGAGAAAGATTCTACGTTGGCGTGTTCGTTTTGTGCGTGTACACGGTTTTGTCTTGCTCGTCGCTATCCGCGAGGAATAATCTACGTGACCGAAGAAAAGATTCGGACGATTGTCTTCGCCTGTGCCATTTTCCATCTCTTTTTCTTTTTTTTTTCCCTTTCGTTTTAATCGCGCGTACAAGAATATCCGGAGATACGTGTGATGTCGCGTGTCACGCGCGCGTCCGGATTCGTGTGGTGTTGCGTATAATGCGTGAGAGCGCGAGGGTGTAAATATAATAATTAATAATGTAATATAATTAATAATATAAATGTGGAGACGTACCAAACAGGGTAAAGAGAGCGTCAGGCGTGACCATCTACACAGAGAACAGACAGAGTCCAGTCAGTAGTCAGCGAGTATAATAGGATTCAAATGTATAGTGTTGATGTGCGCACAAGATTCGCATTTCTGAAGTTAATGCTCGCGCGTAGCCACGGAAAAGAGATGTACTTCGACAGAAGATACGATAAAAAAAAGTTTACTTTTTTTTACACGGTGTATCTAGTATAATCGTCCACGCGATAGATTTTTCAGTGAGTTTCGGTGACAAAAAAATGCAATTTTTTTTTTGCAAAAATTGAGCACGATCGAGAGAGTGGTTGCCAGACTGCGAGGCTTGTGCGCGACACAACGATAGTAGACACACAGTTATAGTACAGTAGTGACAAGTTGCAGCTGCGAAGTGTGACGTCGACACACAGTTTCTTGCCGAGGCGACATTCATCATCCCATAGTTGATGCTTCTTACGCGATAATGTTCGTCGGTTTTGTCATTGAACGCTACATCTAAGTTCGTATGCAGGAGCTGATAACAAGGGCACGTACGCTCTTAGCAAAGACACGAGGAATTGTTTAAACGTACGTACTAGATAACGGATATTGAAGACGCGTGATCCTTCATATCACAAGTACCGAAGTACGAAAAAGTAAATGAATGTCGCCTCGCAAGAAGTAACGTCGTTCAGTCGACGACGCTACGAATTAATTAGGGCGCAGGATGGTGACACGTTGGAGTGATTTGTATGTGTGTTTCGAAAATGAGCGGGGCAAGATCAGGGGCAGAATCAAAGAATCTCGAGACGAAACAGGGTACATACGCATCGCGGCTCGATTTTTCCACCTACCCGACAGAAAGATCTTGTCCTATTATCTCAAATAAATCTTCCTAAAAAAAAAATCGAGTTTACTCTTCCTCCGGATTCCGAAACGTTCGGAAACCGAAACGATTTAACTCTCTCGCTGTTCACCTTCTTGTTCTAAATTGGTACTACATTGACAAAAATATTTGTAAATTTCTTACGGTAATTTTCCATCTCGGTAACAAACGCAAACTTGAATCGCGAGATCTCTTGGCAATCAAGATGCGCATGTCGCGGAGTCTGCGAGTTGATCCTCCTGTCTTGCGAGTTCCCAGTTGGAGCGAGATCAGCCGAACTCGGCGGAAAGATCGAGCCGGAGAATCGAGAGATTGCGGGGGTTTGCCTACGTAGCAACTACGCTTGTAACTCGCTCGTTAGGCCGTGTAATTATACGTGTATGCACGTGCGTATATACCGGATGGGGGTTGGTTGGTTGGTTGGTTCCGCGTGTCGCACACACTGAGAGAAATAGCGTGCGGTCTCTTTAAGGGGTTGGGTGAGAGAGACGAGGGTACGAGAGCCCGGGGAACACGAGAAGAGAATAGAGAGGGAGAAGTGAGAAGGTACAGAGAAAAGATAAAGAAGAGGCGGTCGCGCGTATGTGTGCCATGCGTGTGTCGCGGCGGGCAAGACGATAATGTTCTTGCGAACGTCGAGTTACAGCGGACCAGGGGCTCGAGTACACACACACGCGGCCCATACACACGCGCACACACGACACACATACACACTGCATAAAGACACGACAGATGCCACACTACAGATACATTATTTCGCATACGACATACTTATTCGTACGTGGGCGGCCTACTTCTCTCAGTGTTGCTCGAGGTCTACTCGAACAAAGCGCAACACCCCCATTATCGCGTGCATCGTTTAACGCCTCGTTTCGTCAAATACGCGTTGAGTCGAAATTTTAGACCGATTTTCGACCTGAATTTTCTAACATCTGTAGATGCTAAAGGATCAATGTAGGTTTAATTTACATGGAAACTTTAGTCCTACTTAGCGTCTCTAAAATAGCAGAAAACGCACAAAATGCTACTTGTAAGTTTTAAAGATTTCAGTAAAAACCTCCGGGTCCTCTGGATTTAACCAATATTGGAGTCCTCTTTAGAATCTACCATTAGCATTTTGTGAGTTTTCTGCTATTTTAGAGACGTTAAGTAGGACTAAAGTTTCCATGTAAATTAAACCTACATTGATCCTTTAACATCTACAGATGTTAGAAAATTCAGGTCAAAACTAGGTCTAAAATTTCGACTATCGTTGTGCCTGGAAATCTACGTTATTCATCGTCACGTATTAGTCCGAACAGACTTCCTTCCAATCGAAGTGAATTCGTCCAAGCCAAAACGCGCGATTGGTCTTCGCGAATAAAACGCAAATTATTGTAGCACAAAGTCATCCCGGCAGATCGAAACGAAGAGTCAAACGAACACGACGTTCAGTGGAAACGGCATCTTCCACCTCTTCTTCATTCAGTGCGATTCCGGTTGATGAAAAGGCGGTATACGAAGAAAATTTCCGGGAAGCTATTCCAGCGTTACGATAGTCGGAAGATTTTTAATTGTAAGAACGTCGTGAATAAAGAGATAAACTACCCAATTTTTTTCTTCCCGGAATCTCTTCGTGTATACCGTGCCGCGGATCTCCGTACGGGATCCTCTCGTTCTTGGGGAACAACGCGTCGAGGAGGACGGGAACGGTAGGGGGTTCGGAGTCACGAGGTACTTACCTCCTCGTTGAGATTGCTGACGAGCAGCACGGCCGATGCTTGCGCGCTTCCCTGCACCCGGACACCTAGACCGGCCGCGCCGAGGGGGAATCCGCCGAGGCCGGCGAGCCCGCCAGCCGGGGGCACGCCGTTGTAGGGACCGGCCAAGGGCGAAGCCAGGCCGTGCATGGCAAAGGGCGTGGGCAGCACACCCGGTGCCCCTGCAATGGACTCTACTTCAGGAAGTTCAGACGACATTATTACATTGCCGACATTGCGATAAAAAAAAAAGAAAAGATACAAGACGAAAAGATATAGTTTCGAGAACCGCGCGCGATATCCTGCCGCCGGGAATTTCCGGAATCGTCAAGTCCGAATGTAAAAGCTCGCGTTTCTAATTACGGCGTCGCGATTCGTCGAACAGTCATTTCCCGTCGTGCCCCGAGCGATCTTCCCTCGGCGTCTAATTAATCGTGCTTCGTCGCCGTGGTTTTGCGGAGACCCCGACCGACCGTCGCGAGATCGCCTCAATCCTCAATCATCAACGGACCGTTTGCGTAACGAGATAGGGCGCAAAAGTGGATTACATCGTTGCAGATTAAACACCAACAACAACGCCGTGAAATTAATTTAATCCAAACAAGCGCCGGGCCGAGCGTGTAATTTAAACTAGCGTTGTCGCCGCGATACAAACGGCAAAAATCCGGGCGATTCGGCTCGCCGAATCGCACTCGCCCGGTACTTTGTACTAATTAATTAATTTACCCGAGGAAATAATAACGTCCGACCGGCGCACGCCAGCGGACAGCGGACGTAGGTTTGAAACGCCAGCAAATTGCTTCCACCATTGCGAGATAATAATAATAATTCAGCCCGACGTCCGAGTGACGTAAAATCGGTATCGCTACTAATGTAATTAATTCCGATAAACGTAACGCCGCGCCGCGCGCGCGATCGTGCCGCTAATTGGCCGATCAACCTTCCAATTATACTTTTCACAAAGCCGCTCCGCGGGCTTTCACACGCTTGCCAGAAAAAAATACAAAAACGTCCTGAATTCATTCGGAATCGACGATTTAACGGCGATGAATCCTATAAAGCTCGCCTGTCACGAGCTATTGTATGCATATATTCAACTATTATCGGGTTATTATTACACAAAATCGCGTAAGAGTAACGCAACTCCATTGTTTCGTGTGTAACCTATTCAGAATTGCTTCGATCGAATTTCGTTAGATTGAGCGTTTAATGATGAATTTTGCAAAGCGCTTGATGCCGGTTGTAGCTATATTCAATTATTACCGGAGCATCGCTATATAGAAACGTCCGAGATTAACGCGTTTATCGGATATATAATTATTATTCAGAAATTACTGTAGTCTCGACATTTTAATATTAAGATTTCCGTTTCAAAATAATATCTTAGGGAATCTACCCGCAAGAATTTTTGCAACATTTACGGAAACATCTTGTTCATAAATAATTAAAAACGATTTATTCGGCAGGTCAAACGTGATCGAGTTGAAAAATTTCAGAGAAATGGATTTTACATAATATAACAATACTCACCGGGTATTCTGGCACGCGGCTGGGAACCGGCACCCATGAGCAGCAATTCGCCGCCGAGGGCGAGCGACGCCGCATCCAGATTGGCGTCGCCGGTCGGTAGATTCGGGTTGGTGTAATCCCGGGACTTGTCGTTATTGTACTTAACGTTCAGATTTTGCATCTTGCTGTAGTCGATACGCAGCGTGCAGCAGGAGTTGTAGACGTTCTGCCCGTCGAGCGACTGCACAAGAAATCATGGAATTCTTCGTGATTTGAGAAAACATGGGCATCACGTTTAAGCTTAAGAACACACGGTGGCTAGTAAAATACAATAACAACAACGACTCAAACATCTGTTTGTGTCGATCTTTTCGTTTTTTTTTTTTTTTTTAATTTGGTCGCTTTATTAATAATTTTCTGTCAATTTAAAATTTCGACAAAATCGAGACATTATAGTTATCATTATCTTGTTTTTATAACGTGTATCTTAAGGAAATTAACTGCACAAAATTTGAATTAAAAAATGACAAATTTCTTTAGGAAGGAATAATCCTACTGCGCGATATTATCGAAGCAAAACTATTCAATTAGTTTCATATCAAAGATCAGAAAATCTCGTGAAGCATACATTGCAACAAATCAGGGAATTGAAAAAAGAGGAAGTTAGCTGTAAAAGCGAAGAAGTTTTAAGAGATCAAGATTGGTGGACGCTGAACAAATTTAAAGAAATCCAGACAAATGATTCTACACGTGCTACACGGCGAGATCCGCGAGAGTTACGAGTCAGATTTCTCGTTAGGTCCGTGACTTCCGCTAATCAACATCATCTGCAATGTTAATCCAAGTGCTCCTGAGACGTATGAAATTTACGTTGCGGGTTGTCATACGCAAGTGTGTTTCGTGCGCTTAATGCGGACGCAAGTCGGTCCAGGTCGCTTGTTTGAGCAACGTGCACGACGCGCATTGTGCGCGACTACGTACCCCCTGGGGTATCACGCGGGTGTGTATACGCCCGGCCGCTCTATATTTACACGGGCTAATGAATTTCGTACATAATTAGCGGGTCGGCCCGCGCTGCAAGCCTTTGGCGTGCGCGCACGGCGGCCGGTCGTCTCTCTCTCTCTCTCTCTCTCTCTCTCTCTCTCTCTCTCTCTCTC